CTTAACAGACAAACGCGTTTCGTCACTATGTTGTTCTTCGTGCAAAGAAGGTAGCTAAAGTCAACAATAAAACACTGACAAAATGATGAACAAGTAACAATAATATTCACAATAACATTTCGTTTTACTGAATAATTAAGTAAACATAATTTCTTTATCTTTGTAAAGAAACCTCATTGCTTAACTGGCAACTCTGCTGTCTCAGGCGACGACATCTTTTCCTGTCGGCCTCCGTAACTTCTGTCGGCTGCAATTCGCAACCTTACCACTAGATGCCGATAAAAATTTCAGTGTACTTTTAAGATGACCTCTACCATCATTTAACTTTCTCTTAAAGGTGCAGTGTGTGAATTTTAGCGGCATCTAGTGGTTCGGTTGCGAATTGCTGGAAAAAAGCCCCACCGATGTTAATACAGGATTTATGCCGTTGTTGTATGTCCCGAGACTTCGCCTGGCTGCATCGTGGTTTCTCTTCTTTGCCGACGAATATTGCCGCTCTTTTGCAAAATTATATGTGTGATCCTCCATTTGTTAAAATTTCACTACTTACAATCGTACTTCGTTACTACTACTTCTTCATGCGTATATCATGCGTATATTCAACGTAGTGACGGTGCAAGTTGCCTCTAAATACACCAACGAAGAAGAAGCAAAAACAGCAGAGTGACGAAACTTGCTCTGTAGAGAAGTTTGTCCGTTTAGGGTTACTGTAGAAACATGGCGGCGCAAAATGGCGACTTAACACGCGGTGTATGTAGATAGAAATGGCTCATTCTAAGATAATAAAAACATTTTGTAAGGTAAATACACCACTCAAAACATAGATATGTATATTATAATGGATTTCTGAAAATAGATACTCATACATTTTACACATTGCACCTTTAAAGTTAATCTAAATGTAAAAAAGGAGGCATGAATAAATATTCAAAAATATATTTTAAAAAATCTCTAAAAGCAGCAGATAGAGTCCATAATGCTGCTTTATTATCTCTTGTGCAGGACATGGGCACCGTGGTGCTTGGAAAACTGGAGTCTGGGTGTATCGGGAAAGCACAACAACTTATTATGATGCCAAATCGGGTAAGACTGTACAACACAACAGTATGCATGAGAGAATGTCCTTCTTGTTTTGTTAGTTACAAATACAATATGTTTTTGTCGTAACCATTATGAATTTACCCATTAGGTTGAATCGTAACAGTCAGCGTCTAAAACACTGTTTGTTCTCATTTCCCAGAACACGGTGGAGGTGTTGAGTCTTCTCTCTGATGATGTGGAGACGGAGTACGCCTCGCCTGGTGAAAACCTGAAGCTCCGGCTCAAAGGCATCGAGGAGGAAGAGATTCTCCCAGGATTTATCCTATGCAATGCTGAGAACCTCTGTCACTCAGGGCGCACTTTTGATGCCCAGGTAATGATTCCAGCACTGGCGGTAAAGATTATGAATACTATCTCACTTTTTGGAAGATCTAATAGCTTTTTTCTTTGTTCTTGTTTACAGATTGTCATTATTGAACACAAATCCATTATATGCCCAGGTTACAATGCAGTACTACACATACATACCTGCATAGAAGAAGTGCAGATAACAGTAAGTTATTTTGTGTGCACTTCTAAAATATTCAGACGCAAAGGCGTAAAACGTCAAATCTCCACGATAGAGAGCAGCACGGTTTGGTAGCCTAAAATATTTAACTGTCATGTTCCTCAAAAACCTCTACGAATAGGCGTTAATCTGTCTGGTGGACAAGAAAACAGGAGAAAAGAGCAAGACTCGCCCACGCTTCGTCAAACAAGACCAAGTATGCATCGCCCGTCTTAGGGCTGCAGGAACAATCTGCTTAGAGACTTTTAAAGACTTCCCTCAGATGGGACGTTTCACCTTGAGAGATGAGGGTAATATATCAAGAAAATATAACATGACAAATCAAACATAATATTCCCTGAATACTAAAATGAAGATGTCATTTGTTTTTAGGTAAGACAATCGCAATTGGCAAGGTGCTGAAGCTGGTACCTGAGAAGGACTAAATGCGGATAGAAGGGCTTCCGTGGTGCACTCTGGGATTGAGGAGGATGGAGTGGTGTGTGCCTGCCAGATGTCCTCCAAACTGCTCCATCTTCCCACTGTGGATCGGTCTAAGAAAATTAGTTTGGAAAAAGGACATTATCAAAGTGACAGAATAAATTTTTAGGAAGAACATTAATATAGAAAGACAAGCTCAGTGTGACAGCTTTCTCATATTGAGAGCTCAGCTATGCCACTCATGTAGCCCAATTTTTAGAGCCAGTTTCTTTCAACTGTTACATATTCAATATTAAAGTGGATGCAAATTTCTTTTAAGGCATTGGCCTTTTAATTTCATGTTAAAATGCAGATGACTTACTGAGGAAGTCTTGGTGAGGTGCCTCTTTTTGATGCCGTTCAAACATAACATTCAGATCATTTCCCCCCACACATGAAAGCAGGGTCTCTGATCGCATATCACTTTATAGCAACATCATCTGGATAGTTAGAGATCGCTGACTGTTTCATTATGGCATGAAAGGGGTCCATACAGGGTCAGAGCTTGCCAGTACCCTTGCTCTTTACCTAGAAAGCCCTGCAAGAGTCGTAATTGTCAAGATCCGGTCATACAAGAGGCCTTGTCCTTCAAATAAAAATGAAACTTATGTAGAGATGTTATCATGCACCAGATGAGCAGATTAATTTGTTTACTGTGATGTCATTACATAACAAATCACAAATACACCCATGTGGTTAAGAAAAGAACATGTCACATCAGCTGGTGTAAATTCTGTACACTCCATCAAACTTCCAAAACAATAAAACACTAAAATGACTTTAAATGAAAGTGGTTTGTTTATATATATGTTTATATAGTGTTCAATATCCTGGAACTCACATTGGAGTTTACAAATTCTGCATTATTCTGCTAATGCACTATGGTCAATGGACCTTTTTCACAGACTGATGACGTGTTTTAACGGTCATCGGCATCGTAAATCCTGCAAAGTATTTTATATATATCTTTTTTTTTTATGTACCGGTACACTTATAACACTATACTTTTTTTTAGTTTTGCTTTAAACAACAAAACGATACAACATACATTTCAGAGCCAGGGGAGCAAAGACCACACACACACATATATATAAATAAAATAAAATAATAAATCACAAAAATACAAGACATCAATCAAAGATTTTGAAGACAGTACACAAACGAACAGTCTTAATAGCTTTTCCATTACAACAAGCTTGAATAGTAGAAAAGTAATTTTGTGCAATATCTTGAAAGAGATTTCTTTGACCTTGTTTTTGACAAAAAACTCATGAGGTGGTTATTACCTCCTAAGTTTTTTGTCACAAACAAGATCAAGAACACAAAAAACTTTTTCATCCTAATTAATAGAATTAACATAACCAAGGTGCTTATATAAAGTATCTAAATCAGCTACATTAAATTTAGAACCATACAAATTTGAATAAAATTCATAACAATATTGGGAAATTTCTTTGGGATTTTCTGAGACAGACCCCTCAATATTTAATTGATAAATAGAATTGTATATAGCCCTATTTTTCTCAAGTTTGAAAAAAACAAGATTCTATAAGAAACATCTGTTCTCCAAATTCTAGCCACATTTGCCTTGACCTAATGAAAGCACCTTCTGCTCTTAATTTATACAAATCATCTAACTTAATTTGCAAGTCAACTAAATACGCTCTTTGACTATCTGATAAATTTTCAGATAAAATCCTGGTAATAGATGAGATTTCACTGACAACTTCCATTTCTTCAAGCAGTTTTGAATTAGCCAAATTAGAACTATATTTTCTTAAATATTTCCCAATTTCAAATTTGAACAGTTCCCAATTGGTGCCAAATGAATTTTCTTGTTTAGCTTTATAAAACCCAATTAGTCTTTCCAGCTCGGACTTAACCTCACAGTAAGCAAACAGCCTTATGATCTGTTAATGCCGGAGTTGCTGAGATATCAACACAAATAGTATCTTTGTCGACATTCCTAAAATTTGTGAAAGTCTAGATTAATTTTTATTGCTCCATGTCTACACTATCATTTATGTTCTTGGCCCTCCATATATCTATAAGCTCGAACCTATTCATAAATGCTTTCAAAGCAGAGTTTGAATTTGTTGGGCGACCAGGTGGCAAGGATTCATTTAAGGCAACATTAAAGTCACCACCAATCAGTAATTTTGACTGCCAATAAGCAAGGTTTTCTTCCATAAAAAATAATAACTGATCATTCTCAGATCTAGAGTTATACCCATAATAATTAACAACGATAAGATTACACTACTTTCTGTGATATTACCTTTGCATCAAATTGACATCTTTCACTCTTCTGGCTGCCGTTAGCAATCTCTCTATTCCCCCCCCCCCCCCATTTTTGAAAGTTGTGAAAACACTATTGTGGAGTTTTCTTTTGCTATTTTGAGCAAATGGGAACACAAAAAAATATATTTAATGTAGTCTCTCATTCACCACTATAGAAGTTTACCCAACTATGATGACTTCGGCTTCTGAGAAACCCGGAAAAGTGAAAAATGTCAACGGTTTAATTAAAGCAGATAAGGAAGCTGGAAGGCCAAATGGGAATGATAACGCAGAAATTAAATAATGTGCCACTGTTTCATTAATAATGGTATTTTATTATTGCTTACACTTACTTATAGTCCATTTTAAAATGTATATATTTGGAAACTTATAAACGTTAACAAGAAATGGAGAATTTGGGGAATCTGTTTTCTAATTTTTTTAAAAAAAATATATTTAATCATTTTTTTATATTATTATAATAAATACGTTATAAAATAAAATAAAAACAGAATATAATATTAAACCATCCATTTGCTAGGTCTGCAAAAGTTTTATTCCATTTAAAGTAGGCTTGGATTCAAAAATGGGTTTGTTGTGCTGCAGGAAAGTGACTAACTCATGAAGCATCTAACTATTTAATACATTTTTTCAAAATAAAAGTCTATGTGACGTTTACCGGAAATGCGCATGCGCCCTGAGCTTCCTCTACACACGTGCAGAATGGAGTCCCCACGAGATGAATTGGCTCTCGACCGGACTCAGGTAAACGAGCTATATCTGATAGTTTCCTCACATATTTGTTATGTTTTACTAATTTTGTTTGTGTGTATATTTCCGATTGGGTGGGTACCTTGTCAAAATCTATTAACAAACAATGCTGCAAGTTTGTTAACTGCAAACGCGGCAACCAAATTGTCGAAGTTTAGATATAAAAACATGTATTATGTTTGCGTTGACATGTTATGTATAAGCACAACGAAGTTACATTGTTTATGACTATAACAATGAATGACTGATTCTATGGCTGTTTCTGGCGTTGTTTATGATTATAACAATGACCAATGACTGATTCTATGTCTGTTTCTGACGTTGGAAACGGTTTAAAAGACACTTAATTTTGTTCAATCATCATATTACAGGTGAAGAAAGCTGCACAGGCATTACAGGCATATATAAAGAGCAGCTCTTCGTCCCAGAAACTCTTCCAGAATGAGGGTCAGGCCGTCTTCCTACTGTTTACTCAATGGAAAATCCCTAAGAAGGAGCAAACCATTCGCATGTAAGTGTTTCAAAGGGAAATTAATCCAGGGTCATTAATGTAGACATAATGGACTTAAGTATTACTGCTCTTACCAAATGTACTTTGTACCACAGTCCTTTACCCCATGGACTGAGGAAAGAAACAGGAGACGTGTGTCTCTTCACCAGAGATGAACCCAACATGACTTCTGAACAGACGGAGAGATTCTACAAGAAGTTACTCACTGAGAGAGGCTTCAAAAATGCCATAGAGGTATTTCATCTGTCTGATCCTTCAATGCTTTCAGCAATTATTATAGTTTACTATATGCAAATGCATTTCAGCAAACCCTGTCCTGTCTCAGTGCTGGTCTTGGGTTAAAAAGTGCTAAAGTACCTCAGAGTGTATCCAGACGAGTCTCCTCTATTGGAACTTGTCTCTACAAACTTTGAAACAACCAAGCAGGGCCATTTTATGTGACAGTATGTATTGGAACATATTTAAAAGTATGTTTACATACATTTTATTTTCTCTTGTTAGGTGATTCCCTTTAAGGTTTTAAGGACTGAATATAAGCCGTTTGAAGCCAAGAGAAGACTGCTAGGCAACTTTGATTTGTTTTTGGCAGACGCACGTATTCGACGCAGGTTACCCTCCCACATTGGCAAACATTTCTATGAGAGGAAGAAGTAAGTTTGCATTTAAATGCACAACAAAACAAAAAATAGTTCAGAGTTGAGATGTATTGGATACATTAGATATTTAAATGCTTAATTTTATGATCAAAGTTCAGTTGTTTTTATTGTGGGGGGAAAAGAAATAATGCAACACAGTACAATGTTGATTGAGGGATGAACAAATTAACATTCCACAAAAGCCTTTTGTATCATATTTGATACTCATATTTTAGCATGATTTAAAAAAAAAAGAAATGTATGGTTAACCAAGTAAACCTAAGTTGCTTCAGTTCAGAAAGTGTTCATCTTGAATTATTAATACCAATATAAAAGTTATTCTAATGCTTACTTTTTAAAAATCAGTATAAAGATTTTACAGCAAAAAGACACGTGTAACACATTATAAAGGGGGATGTATTTAGAAGTATATAAGAGGCATTTTGCTTTCTAAAAAGTGTAGACTTATCAATCGGGCAATTTTTTAAGAACCTGATTGCAAAAACAAAAGGCTCACCGTTAAAAGCCTTGTCCTAAGCACTTCAACATAAATCTCATATATACAATACAGTAACCTAGTTTGAACCGGTGTAAGATTCATTCTCCCAGTTTCAATGTTTAAGCTAGTCCCGGACTAAAATGCATGTTTGAGCTGTTATAATTGAAAGCAAAACCTTTTTGTCTCAAGATGCACACCAGTAATGTTTTTTTTTTACGGCATGTTAATATCAAAGCTACTTAAATGTCCTAATTGAACTAAGGCCTAATCCTGGCTTAATCTAAACCCTGTCTGTGAAACCAGGACCTTTTATAATTTTTACACTCCTATGGCCAACTTTAACAAAAACATTGAGTGCCTTAAAAAGTCATTGGGCAACATGACTTGTGTATAAAGAATCAAAATGCATGTGCCATAAATAAAATGGAATAGCCTATGCATGAACAATAATAAAATTATTTTTATTAAACCATATTGTTGCAAAATAAGTGCTAGTTGTTATTAATAATGCATCAATGTTTTTGAAAAAGAAACATCTATAAATGTATTTTAGCTACTGTTTCAAATAACAAGTAACGCTGAAGGTAAGTGCTTTGCTACCACATTAATTAACTTAACCAAATGCTTCCTATATGAGATAAATCAGATATATATTCACAAAATAAACAATCCAATTTACAAAGCCACAAAACAAAAGTCTCCGAATGCACAAGCGAACTTGACTTTGCTAATCATGAAGGTGTTACATTCTTTTACAGTAGTGTTCTCATTATAATTTTATGTAGGCTATATGATAGATTTGCACTACTTATGTTGCGCTTAACTCTGTTTTCCTTTTAGAAGTGATTCCAACCATATTTTAAACGATTCAAAACCATAATGTTGAACAGAGCACTTCTGAAGTGTCTCCGCTGAAGGAAATAATCCATTATTTATTGGCTTTAATATATTGTTCTAATTTTCTTATCGGGGCAATAACATTGAAAATGAACACATATCTGCATCCCTATTTGAAAATGACATCTATGTGAGCTGTATGAAATACATCTACACTACTGACAATAGATTGTGAATGACATTCATTAAAGTTCTTGTTTACTTGTTAAACTTTTCATAGTATGTTTTTATTTGGTATTTTATTTTTGTCTGTTATTCACTTTCATTAATGCGTTGTTTGTATAATTGTATGTTTTATTTGATCTTATTCTTGTGAAGCGCTTTGAGATGCTACTTTTAAAGGCGCTATAGAAATTAAAGTATTATTATTCCTCTGTCAGGGCTCCTCTGTCGGTGGATCTAGAGAGTAAAAATCTGGCCAGACACATGGAGCTCCTCATTCAAGGCACCACCCTCTGTGTCTCAAACAAAGGCTCCTGTTGGTATGAACATTTGATATAGTTACAGTATGTAGAAGCACTACAGCAAACCATTTCCTGCTTCATAACAGCTGGATATGGGTTAAACATGTGCGATAGTAACTCATAGTGTATCCAGACGGGTCTCCTCATCTGTTGGAACTTGTCCCTACAAACTATGAAACATGAGATTTTTCTTTTCTTCCAAAATCCAAAAATGTTTTCAGTTTCCCTGATTGTGAGATTTACCTTTGCAGCATGGCACGTGTAGGACATTCAAACATGACGGCTGATGAGATAGTCGAGAATGTGACCATGGCGGTTTCCACCATTTCAACAAAGTCAGCAACAGTGAGTAGAGCGGGTTAAGAGTTTATGTATGTAACCTGCCTGCTTTTTTTCACAATATCATTCGCTACTCGTTTCTTTTTATTTTCTTGTGTTTTTAATGGCATGTGTTTCTGTTCACCATGTTTTTACCTAAAACCTTGAATCTCATGTTTCCCTCTCAGACAGGAAGAAACATAAAAATCATCCATTTGAAGAGTCAGAACTCAGTTGCTCTGCCCATCTACACCTCTGATTTGAGTCATCTTGCAGTGGTGGAGGAGGCCCAGAAGAAAGCTCATCCAACAAAGGTGAAGTTGCTTAAAGCCAATACGGATATGTGTCCAAAAATACTTTAGTAAAATGAGAAGTCATTTGTTTTACCCTTTAATTTTTAGGGAGCACAAAAGAGGAAGAGCGAAAATAAGAAAACAGAACTATCAGAGCCGATCACTAAAGAGACGGAGAAAGATGTAGACTGTGAGGAGGAAATCCCACAGCTGGTGCCAATCGAGACGCCAACCAAAAAGCCAAAACGGGAGGTCAGTGTCTGCACATCTCACAAGCAGAGTTTTCCGCTAGAAAAAAATGGTGCCGGTCAAAGTGACCGGCAGAGTTTTCGTTTTACGGACATTTTGATGATATGCCGGTCAAATATCGCCTCTTAATTAGTCAAGTTGAGGAAAACTGGAGGCAGACTATGTAACTTAAAAAATGACATAATCAGGCCGTATAGAATGCAACATGTTTATTAGCCTAACTTTCAAACAGACGGAAAAAAAAACATGAACGTCCGATTGGCGTCAATCAACGCCAATTGTTTTTACTATGGTTTCACATTCATAGTTTAACAAACCAATCCCCCTTCCCCACATAACATATCTGAATAGTAGCCTATTGTTTTTACTCAAGCGAACTTAATTATACACTATCAGTATGTCTCATTTGGTAACATTTAAATTGGCCACCGTGAAATGTCTCCTTGTCAAATGAACTGGAACAAACAAATGACTAGGCCTATAACATTGTCTCGCGTCATTCTTCTTTTTACGCTGTTTTGCAGTGCTGAATTGTGCAGCTGCTGGCTTAAAATCAAAACTTCCCAGTGTCTCTCCACAACTTGCAATGCGCATAAGCCGCATAAGGGCCTGTTCACATCGCGTCTTTTGCATGCTCAAGTTCGTTATTTCAAATGCAGGCGCACGGTATGCGCGCTCATAATGGAAGCGACGTGGTCGCGGTGCGACCAGGGTGCGACAAGCGCCGCATCGAGATAAAAACATCTCTGTGTGGATTGAGGGAGGACTGCTATTTTTATTTAATGAAAAATCTTTGAAAAAACATTGCTGGTTTTTGAAAGCTTCGTTCAAACGGATTCAGTGTTTTCTTTTTGTCATCTTAATTTGTTAATTATTTAAGTTAAAAAAATATATTTAGTGTTGGCCAATTTTATGTTTTTTATTTGTATTTTATTCTGTTTTTCTCTGTTGTCACTGAAATCCTGCAGGTGTGTGAAAATGTGATCTGAATCCAGGTTCTGTTGTTGATCTGTTCTGTATGCTGCTGTTTGCACTTTGCACGTTAAAATAAACCCTTTGATAAATAAATAAAAATGTTTGTATTTTTAACGGGTCACAGATACGCGTCAAATTTTTTATTTATTTAATGCCAATTCAATATTATAATCTTATCAGTTAACGGTTAATCGATTAACGAACGGCGGTTGTCGGTCGGGAAAATTAACCGAAATGAGCATCCCTACTGGATACATTTCGTTGAAATCACATATGAGGACTTCGCAGGCTGTGGAGAAATGCAATCCTCCATAGCCACGGAGCGCTGTCATGACAGCGAGGGCATCACGCCGCAGGCTTACGGCATCGATAAGAGGAGCGGTGTCCACAGACTCAATGCTTGTAAAATGGCAAATAATCCTTCTGATCGGTCGGTGTATTTTTGCTTTATACATTTTAGGCTTATTCTTAAATTCAGATTGTGTTAGGGGGGCGGGATTATTACGGTAGGCCATTTTAATCGGACAATTTGACCGGAGAGATTTAATTTTGTCGGACATTTCATTTTTTTCCCGGCCAATGTCCGGTAATTACCGGACAACGGAAACCCTGCTCACAAGGGACTGTTAGTAAAACCAGTATTTACACTGCATGGATGGTAATGCAATAATGGTGTTGTATGTGATTTTTTTTTTTTTTTTTTTACAGGGCATATCCAAAAAAGGATTGAAAAAAGCACCCAGGCCTGCTAGCAAAGGACTTAAGAAAACTGTAAAAGACAAAAAACTGGCCAAGAAAACACCAAAGGTCACAGGACATGTTCTGAAAAGAAAAGCTAAAACAAATAAAATCTGAAATGCAATTAATGTACAGCTTTCTCATCCTGTCAACAATTTACGTGGATATGTATGGAACCAGAATTTGTAGTACACATGGTTGTTTATGTAAACATTTGTTCTGACAGATCAACAGTGAATTAAAAGAATTCTAAATCTGATGATGGCTTTTGTGAATTAATTTAAATGAAGTCGGTATCTGGATTTGTCAGCTTTGATGATACAATGTTCTGTTTACAGTAGGGCTGTGTAATAGATGTATTATATTACATGCATTTGATGAGCTAGACAATGTGTTGGACCAGCTGCTCTTCTGTTTGTGCTGCTGTTCCTGCTCACACTGGTTTGGAGTTCTTCTGCTTGTTTTGGTAATGGTCATCTATTCACTGAGTCCCATGTTTTTAAAATTTGAGATTTTTACCCAGATCGTTTTGAAGATCTTTCCTGTTTTGGTCAAGACAGGTGTTTTGAATGGTCTTTCGAGACTATTATTCTCTCATATTTCCTGGATTTACGCGTGAGGCTGATTACAACGAAAGGAACCAAGTATCAGAATACAAACAGAAGGCAAGTAAAAAGCTATTTTGATGCTATCAACAATGTTTAGATGATATTGTTAAAGAGATAGCTCAGCTACAAATGAAAGTTGTGTACTTGCCCTCATACTGTTTCAAACTGACTTCTGTGGAACAAAGATATTTTAATGTGTCAGTGGTTTTATGTCCATCCAATGGAGATCCACATGTGTTTCCAGTAAGTCAGTTTTGGAGTGACACGAGGGCAAGTAAATGACAGAATCTTCATTAGTGAGTGAACAATGCATTTCAGAAAGATATTTATATTAAACTGTGGATCGTACAAAGTGAGTGACATTTACTTGTGTATTTTTTGTTTGACAGTCAGGATGCGCTCAGTGTGATTTAAGTGAAGATTTGACTATGCAAACCGTTTCAATTCCAGTTCGGGACCCTGTACCCAGAGACCCCAGTTGTTGGACTTACTACCACAAACCCATCTTCATCTTGACCATTAGTGGGCTAGCATTGAGTGCTGGTTTGGTGGTCATCCTCAGCTCTAGTGGATTATTTGGTAGTAAGCCTAGAGACTTGATGCATGTGAATGATGAAGTGGGCCCATTGTGTCTTTCAGTTGGGCTGATGTTTGCTGTGCTCGGTGTGGTCTGGACATTGATCATAAAAGAACATGTAAAACACAAAAGGCAGATGGTCTAGAATTAGAGAAATAGTCAAAGACGTCACATTAAAAACTTGCATGCAAATATAATTGACTCGTCAGAGCATGTCTGTTATCTTGATTTATCTTCAGGTTTGTGATCCTGATAAAAGCACTGGTTTACAGCTGAACATCAAGGTTTATTCACTTCAGTGTACTTTGAACATCATCTGTAAAGGTGTGCGTCATGTTTCACGCAGTGTGTACTTTTAGCACTAGTTTTCTTTAGATGGATCTGAATAGACGAGCTGGTGTCTAGCGATATATGTTTCAATAAAAAGGGACACCAATATAAAATTACGGATATGGAGAAAAAGTATCCAGGAGTTGGACGTTGTAAATGTGCCTTTTGGTTTGCTGTTTTTCATGACATTTTTGGACTTTTTGTCCTCCTAGCTGGGGTGTTTTGGGACATCTTTTTCCATGACTTTTTAATATACGCTGGAGCTGTGATCATTTTCCTGAGTCTTATCTGGTGGGTGTTTTGGTACACTGGGAATATTGAAGTGCCTCCTGAAGAGCTGGAGGATGACATTGCTCAGTACAAACGCACTAAAGGAATTTCAGGCGTTATGCGTAAAGTCTCAAGCAGGCTTTCCAACGGACTGAGGAATTCCCTCAGGAGAAATGGAAGAATCAACACTCAGCCTGGAGGCTCTCATGAAAACCGCACGGCCAGGGCAGATCAACCTGTTACCATTGCCATGAGCTCCTATCTGAATACACAGCCAACTGAGACGACCAACCACCTGAACCGAGATCCTTTAGTGATATAACATAGTACAGGTAATGCTAATAATACCCTAAAGGTGTTTTAAAGAATACAAACTTGTATAATGCAATGGAAACTAGCCATCTTTCATGTTATCATCTATAAGCATGATCTTTTTTTATTTTCGTTTGACTTTGTTAATCATTTATAGCATTCTGGTCTTTAGGTGGAATCCTATTGGCCAGGACAGAGAATCAAATAAGACTTATCTTTTATACCACACAGCAAACTTTGCTCGACTTTGAGTGTCAGGCTCTGATTTGCATCTTTATTCCCAGAGTGCTCTGCTGGAAGACCCTCCTCTCCACAACTGCATTCATGCTGCTTAATGACTTGCCTTTAGAAGTGCTTTATAGATCTTTAAGATCATCAGTGTTCTTCAGCTACATTGATGTATAATTGTTCATATATAAATATATTTAAAGATTGTTCTTTTAATGACTGAACTCAAATATTTTTCTATTATTTAATATGGTAACGTTTTACAATATGATGGCTTTTTGTTAACATTAGTTGGCTGGTTAACTAATTAAGAATGAAAAATATTTGTGGTAACACTTTACAATAAGGCTTTATTAGTTAAATACTTTAGTTAACATGAACTAATAATGAACAATAATTCTACCGCATTTATTAATACAAGTTATTGTTAATCTCAACATTTACTAATACATTATTAAAATCAAAACTTGTATTTGTGTTAACATTAGGTAATGCACTGTGAACTAGCATGAACAAACAATGAAAAGCTGGATTTATTAACTAACATTACCAAAGATTAATAAATATTGTAACAAATGTATTGCTAATTGTTAGTTCATGTTAGTTAATACATTAATGTGAACGAATGAAACCTTATTGTAAAGTGTTACCGCATTTGTTAATGCAATGTGAACTAACATGAACAAACAATAAACAATTCGACTTTTACCAACATAAAAAAAAAGATTCATAAATGCTTTAATATATTGCTCATTGTTAGTTAGCTAATGCATTACATTGTTAACTTATACTGATAATATTATATAATATGCTAATCAAATATGCTTGATTGTTATTTACTGGTTGTGTATTTGTGAAATTTGTACTAATTTGTTGACAATATGTCTAATAAGCAGTGCTTGGTTTTCTATGTTTATAGTATCAGGATAACATTATTTTGTTGTGTATACAGACCATTGCAATTAAAATAATTTTAGAACATTTATTACTCTTGTATTATAGTTTTATTTGAAAAAGAAGAACGCTGTCACTTCATTTCTAAAAAACAAGGTTTTAAAAGGGGGGTTTCCCAGCGATGCCATGGAAAAACCATTTTTGATTCCCCAAAGAAACAACTATTTGTTTTCTGAGTGTGAATAACATTTTAATAATCAGAAGAACCTATATTTTCCCCAGCCTTTTGTGCATTGAAAAGGTTCCATTGATATTAAAGGTTCTTCTGAATTTTTAAGAGTCTATTAAGATAAAACAAATGGTAGTATTAATAGTTATTTAACTAAACAAAAGTATGTGGTTGATGACGATAGTTCAGTTTTTGTCATGAAAAAAATTTGACTAAAATTTCAACTGATCCCAAATGTAAAAGACAAAAGTGTCATAGCTCAGGGACATCCCCTTCTTAAGACATATTTACATACTAGGCTTCATAAAATGTTGACTGTTGTGTAAGTTCAGTGACTTCCAACACCTCAGTGGAAGATGATTCTCTTTATATGGCTGCTTTACATGATTATTTGTGCTGAGGGAAAATGTGCAAAGAATTCTTATTACGATGGACTTCTTGAGGAGTGTCAACATTGCTCCATTAGATGCAACTCCCCACCAAATATTTGCAAAACATTTTGTACCTCAAGTAAGTATTGTTTTATTTCTGATTTAAAACTTTTTGACATTAGACTTAGAACAAGCACATTACATAATTTAATGGATAAACATAACAGTAACAGTTATGGTTATTTTACATACTCCTTGCAGAATCAGTAAATTGTCAGATTTTTTAAACAGATTCATCCTGCCTTGAAAAGGCTATATAACATTATTTAATGTTCAATATATATATATATATATATATACTACAAGACTCATTATACACAAATTATCTGGTTGTGTATAAAGAATCGATGTATTATTTTGTCTTGTGAAATAATGTACATATAAATGCATAAAATATCCATTTAATAGCTTCATCAGAGGAGTAAAAAAAAAAAAAGCAATAGTCTCCAGTTATTTAAATATCAAACTCTTTGAAAATTCTGCAAAAGGTTTGAAAACGTACCTTTCCTTAAAAGAACTGTATCAAAGTCCACAATGTATGTCTTATGTTGTTCTCTTATTCAGTGTCTTATTGTGTCCTTTTCAGTACCAGTAAATGAAGTTGAAAACAATCAAAACATCCGTTTCATTTTGATTGTGTTTTTTGTGTTCCTGGGAGCTTTCACTGCACTGACCATTATTCTGCGAGTTATACGCAGAAAAACCTGTAAGCCCATCATCATGAAAGGTATATTGCTGAAAGAATTTTGATATGTTATGAATGTAGACAATTTGGTTAAAATTTTAGTACATTGTGCATGCATTTGGTTAGTTTACTGTACTTGATTTCATGTTGTATGACATTACATCTGAAAACAACAACAACAGAATAATATGTAATATAATAATATGTAATATAGATTATTTTCATTTTAAATGCATTGTAAATTATATATCTAACTATATTTATACTAGTAGCCAGTAGCTTATAATGACATTACTTGTGTGGCAAACAAATCCTTATTAAGTCAATGAAATATCACACAGCGATAGGTCAAGAACAAAAGACATCTGACAGTGAGAGAGGTTCGGATGTCACAGAGCAATCTGAAGATACGAATGAAGCTACGACTGATTTACCAGATGGATTGAATCAACATCACTACAACTCCAACCTGCCTCTTCCATCCACTGAGGAAGGTACCACATTGCTGGTTACCGCAAAGACAGTACAAGCTTACCAGTGTACACCTGTCATATATGGAGGAAACCGCATGGAACTTGTATAACAGCAGCAGACTCTGAAAACTGCACATAATCTCACCATTACTCTGTTCAGACTGGATAAAATTCTCATTGTAATTTGAAATGGACAGCTGGATGCACTAATAATGAACACAGGACTTGAACACAGGATGGCATTTGACTGTCAAAACTTGAACATCTCTGTTATTTAGGTGTAATATATCAGTGAATGTAAACAATTTTCAACATGCTTTGTCCAAATGTTTTACGTCTCAGTTTCACTCTTACACATATTTATCAATGCAAAACCAGTACAAATTTTTGCTGTATCTTTGTTAAATTAAAATGTGTTAGCCTACTTAAATTGTAGTCTTATTAAATAACAGTATATGTAAATATACTTCAAGACAGAAAAAAAATACATGGCATTTATGCAAAAGGGATAGTTCACCCATGAAAATGAAATTCTGCCATTATTTACTCACCCTTATGTTTCCCCCTCCCAAAGCCTGTAGCCGATGCCCTTTCTCTCTCTCTCAAAAAGATCTGCACAATATTCTCAGTCACCATTCACTTTCACTGTATGGAAAAAATATGCAATGATGAGAAGGCGACGGAGGTGGTAAGTTCCTAACATTCTGCTTAACATTACCTTTTGTGTTTCACGCGGGTGAGTATGCTAAATAATGACAGTTTTCATTTTTGGGTGAAACGTCCCTTTGAATCAGAATTTCAAACTTACGAAAATGTCAGCAACCACTGTTGAACGACTTCTAAATACTTTTATTTCTGTATAATTTTGTAGCCTATTATAGTTTTGACCCACGTGACAATGTTGCTGCCACGTGACACCAAGTCAATGTCATGTGACTGACACGAGCGCTGTGCATTGGCATTAGCCAGCTCTCGTTAGCACAACGATACAAGAGCTTAACTGGGTAGAAACAGTTAATTTATGCTGGACAATAAACCCTTACGATACTCCATAAACAACGTCTTCATAGTTGTGATGCATTAAACGGCTTTAAAGTGCTAGTGTTGTCTGAGCTAGGCCTCGGTTGTACTGTACGGCTTAAATGCTCTGCAAATGAAACTATGGAGAACGATTTAAAATGTAAATAATGCTGTTAAATATCACTTGGGATTAATCTGAAACTTTTTGGGACCGACTCAACTGCGATTCATGTCGCTTGCCAAACCGTTTTATCGGGATTTTCAGGATGAACGGTGAGTTGCAACTTGCAAATGTGAGGTGAAATATTCCTGCTGTTTAATTGTTTATTTGTTTGGAACACATAAATTGTTATCTAATAATGTTGTTTGTTAGGTAGTCTGAGGTTTCAAAACATCCAGTCTGTGTCATTGCGGTGGGAATATGTAAATCCTACAATATGTCATACACTTTAAAAACAAGTGAATTATAGGACCAAAATGTGGTCTTTGTGATTACAGGCAATCTGCTTTTCTACAGTAGCTGGAACTACTTACTAAGTTCTTTATCTGCAGTTTTGACAGGGCATGTCAAATGTGTGACTGCATTCTAAGACTGATGTTTCCAAACACTATATATCAGATTCAAGGAGCAGAACTTAACGTTACTGTTTTGTGTGTGTGTGGGGGTGTGTATAGATAAATATAATACACTGCACGGCCCAAAAAAAGTCGCTGTTTGGATTTAAATTGTCAAATCCTTAAAAGTTTATGATTAGATCATTATTGCAGTGATTTATTATGTTTCTAGCATGTTATATGTTTGGCAGCAGTTCTTCTAAACCTAACTGATGGAGTGTGTAGCTTTTTATATCTTAAACAACCATTTAGGAAGACACATCATGGCCATACTCCAGGATGACAATGTCACGATTCATCAGGCTCAAATTGTGAAAGAATGGTTGGTAGTGAGCATGAAGAATCACTTTCATACATGAAACTGAAAGTCTTTGGGATGTGCTGGAGGAGACTTTACAGAGTGATGGACTCTTACAATACAAGATCTTGACCAGAAAATGATGCATCTCTTGATGGAAATAAATGTTGTGATGTTATTTCCATAAATATGTGCATCAATTTTAACATGCTAGAAACATAGCCTAATAATTACTGCAATAATGATGCAGTCATAAGCATTCATTGCTCTTAAAGGGTGTTTACCCAAAAATGTAAGACCCGTAATGTGAGGCCCGTAAGACCTCCGTTCATCTTCGGAACACAGTTTAAGATATTTTAGATTTAGTCCGAGAGATTTCTGTCCCTCCATTGAAAATGTATGTACGGTATACGGTCCTTGTCCAGAAAGGAAATAAAGACATCATCAAACTAGTCCATGTGACATCAGTGGGTTAGTTGGAATGTTTTGAAGCATCGAAAATACATTTTGGTCCAAAAATAACAAAAACTACGACTTTATTCAGCATTGTATTCTCTTCCGGTTCTGTTGTCGAGCCGCGTTCAGTGACGCTGCTGACGTAAGACGCTGCTGACGTGTGTCTGGTGCGCCCGTGCTTCGTTTACAGTCTGAGGGAGACGCACGCTGTAAACAAAACAATCTTCGCAAACATGTCTAAGGATTTTGACACAGAGGAAGACTTGCATTTTTTTGCCCAGCCATATTTATTTGAACCAAAATACACGGACGCACCAGATACACGTCAGCAGGGTCTTACGTCGTCACTGCGGACTCGTGAACGCGGATTGACAACAGAACCGGAAGAGAATACAATGCTGAATAAAGTTGTAGTTTTTGTTATTTTTGGACCAAAATGTATTTTCGATGCTTCAAAACAAAACATTCCAACTAACCCACTGATGTCACATGGACTACTTTGATGATGTCTCTATTTCCTTTCTGGACAAGGGCAGTATGTGTATACATTTTCAATGGAGGGACAAAAAGCTCTCGGACTAAATCTAAAATATATTAAACTGTGTTCTGAAGATGAACGGAGGTCTTACGGGCTTGGGACGACATGAGGGTGAGTCATTAATGACATCATTTTTATTTTTGGGTGAACTAACCCTTTAATATTTAAATCCAAACAGCAACTTTTTTTTGGCTGGGCAGGAATATACAATGTGTGTGTGTATATATGCATATGTATGTGTGTGTGAAGAAGGGATCAGATTAATATATTCAGATAGATAGTGCCTACACCACTGAGAACTGCTGCATGTTCTGTTTCTGTGCAGTCACATAACATATGTTAATCATTTCATGCACTGTGATTTTGACGTGTTTATTTTAAGTGTTTATATTGTTAAGTGAGGTCAATTCAAACAGTAATATTTCAGGACACTGTACCTTACAGGCGCGCAGCAAAATGACCTGAAAAGACAAAACCTGTTAGAGAGACTTCTTGATGCAGTTAAACAGGTAAGGTGACATTGACTTGTTTAATTGACTATTAATAACTTATTTGTGCAAAACACTTCCTCTTTGACAATGCTGGCTTCAAACAACGAGGAAAGAAGTTGTTATAAATCAGGCCAGGGAAGACCATTAATGACAGAAATGATCACTTATTTTGCATGATGTTTGCTCAGTGTCGGTAATATCATACGGCTATCTGTTTTAATCTATTGGGCTAGAAAGAAGTATAAAACCGTTTCGATTTTTTTTATTGTCAGGATGCCTTTCGTGAACGAACACTGCACTGCTACATCATGCCCTATCGAGCCATGTTATTATATTTTGAATGCAGGAAATTGTTTATCTTTCTCCCATTCACCAGCTGTTGTATTTAGTGAGTTTAGTAACAATGGCAGATCAGATGCTTAGGCCTAAATATTAATAATATTTGTCCAGGTGCTCATGAAGGTACTGCAGCAATCCTTGAAAAAGATATATAATGCATATAAAAGTTTAACATTTCCAACTGTTTGAATGATGTTAAGTATTTTGTAATAAAATAATGTTAAAGACGGACCATTCCTTGCTTTAAACAATTATTATCTTCTCAGTGCCAAATTCGCTTTGGTGGCAGGAAGGAGATTGCCTCAGATTCTGATAGCAGGTGGGAAGAATACTCCATCCAAATATTATCTGTTTATGTTATAAGTCTGAAATAGTTTGATAAGATTATGCTGAATCGTATTTTATTTTGCTGGTCTTTTTGTCCTCCTTTGCTGTTTGTTTTCAGAGTCATATGCCTGTGTGCCCAGTTTGAAGCGGTATTTCAACACGGCTTGAGGAAAAGTCGCGGTTTAGCGCTCACAGCAGCGGCCATTAAACATGCTGCTGGATTTAGCAGTAAAACTGAAGCAGGTACCTTGTTTTCTGTCATTCAGTTTTTGACCAGAAAGAAGAACACGGTGAAAAGAAGTGTTTTTCCAAGCCTTTACTTGGTGAACTCTTTGGGCTACTTAATGAGTTTGTCTTAGTTGGTACCCCTGAGAGACATTGCCTGAGAGATTTCCCTAGTAACAAAGAACATATGCCGTGTTATGGGTTGTCCATAGAGGAAACAGATGCTTATGAGTGCTCATACAGGAAAACCAGGTGCTGATACTGTTTATGAAACCAGATGGTTATGCAACAAGCCCTGTAAAAATGGCAAAAAAGAGAAACAAGGATTTTCTGAGGTTAGTCTCTGCACCTGTTGTGGTTTTGAGCTGTTTAAAATTAACAGCAGAACTAAGAGTGATACTATGAATCAATGCTGACAGTGAGTACTTTTAGTTTTTGTAGAGTAGAAAGTTGATTGCCATCCAGAAAATAGTGGGGAAATTTTGAGTGATGTTATAAGATTCTGAGATATCATAAATAATGTACTTGATGAACTCTAGTCGAAACTGAACATGGTTGAAAAAATTCACTGAGTTCATGCATAAACTATTGTGTCAAGTTTTATCTTGAGGATGTTTCCCCCCTCTATTATATATACACACACACACATTAATACTTTCATTCATTCATTCAGGTTGGATGCATTGAATTGATCAAAAGTGACAGTAAAAACATTTATAATGTTACAAAACATTTCAGTTTCAAGTAAATGCTGTTTATTTTCTGTTTTCAACATTTATAATAATAATAATAAATATTTCTTGAGCCCCAAATCAGCATATTAGAATTATTTCTGAAAGACCACTGACACTGAGTAATGCCTGTTTCTTTTCCATTACAGGAATAAAAGACATTTGAATTTTTTTTCATAAATATCAATATATATATATATATATATATATATATATATATATATATATATTTAATTTGTAATAATATTTCAAAATTTTGCTGTTTTACTGTATTTTTGATCAAATAAATGCAGCCTTGGTGAGGATAAAAAAACCTTCTTTCAAAAAAACAAATCTCACTGAGCCCATACTTTTGAATGGTATTAAATATGTAAATAATATTTAGCCATTGTTTCCAAATGATGCCACAGTCTAATCTGTCCCGCCACAGCTTCATAATGTATTTGACGTTGGGTTTTGCATCATTTGGTTTGGCATCTGTCAAACCAGATAAAACCAAAAGCATCTATATAGTCTGTTGCCCCCCACAGTCTCACACAATCCCGTGGGAAACACTTTTAGCTGTTATTAAAGCTGCAGTCCGTAGCTTTTCCTCTTTGTCGCCATCTCTCTGTTCGAAATCTGTAACTGCAGTGATTCGCGGAATTATCATCTTTACGTGGGTTGTAAATCGGCATGAAACAGCGCGGATGAACACAGTGTTTTGAGGCGAGTGGTGCTGTCAGTCACCGCGCTGTGTGGATACTGTCATACAGAATTTCCCGCGGAAACCCACCAGTACCACTGGAATTAAAATCATTTTTACAAGCTAACCGTTTTGAATCTAGCTATGGCAAGCAGATAGTTTTGACCACTGGCAGAATAAGTTTTTTTTTATATAATTATTTTGGATTATTTTTAACTTAAAAAAGTTACGGACTGGAGCTTTAATAATGTTTTGAGTTAATAAGTAAGTTAAGTTATTTACATTTATTATTTTGCAAGTAAAATGATCACATCAGAACCCACAATCTCTTAGTTTCCAGCCCAGATCTTTAAACACTAGGCTGCACCACCCTGTATCCCGAGTCCAGACGAGTATGACTACCTCAGCCCTAAGTGACCATTTGTAAACTTTTGAAACATTTAACATTTGAAAACGGCTGAACAACTTCAATGTCAGACTAGAACAATTTTCTTTTGATCCAAACTGAGGCTAAAACCAGCAATGGATAATTCCCCCCCCCAAAAAATGTCCAAAGTAATATGAATACAGAAAGAAAAGTTTCAAATGATCTTCTACTCAGTGTCAAAAAAAAAAATTTCCAGTGAAAACATTTATTTTAATTTTCTTTTCTCTCAACCATGAGGATTTTAAGAATAAGTATCACTGACCTTTTCTTTACCTCCAAAATTCTGATTCACAAAATGACCTCCTTATAGAACTTCTGTGATATTATCTATCTCTATTGTCTATAATGGGGAACTGAGAACATTGCTGTGGCAGTTCAAACAGACTCTCTTGTGTGTTTCAGAGCTGACGTTCTGGTTTTATGTGAAGGAGCACCTCAACCGTCATGAGTTGCAGCGCTTCTACTCTCTGCGGAATATCACATCTGAGCTGGGCCGGGGCCGGGCATGGCTTCGCTGTGCCCTGAACGAACACTCGCTAGAGCGTTATCTACACATGTTGCTGGCAGATAATGCCCGTCTTGGGTAAAGACACCCATGATTCTTGGTTTTGGATGTCTTTTTTTGTTTATTGTCCTTGTTGTTTTTTGTTACATATCAGTTACAAGCCCCGTTTACACCACCAGTGACACGCAGTGACAAAGTGACATGATCCAATTCATTTAAATAGAGAACTGGCTAGTGATGGGAAGTTCGGTAGAATATAATTTAAATGTTACATGTTAATTGCCAAATTCCCCAACGCTTCTACTTTAGCAAATGTTGATCACATTTCGAATAAGAAAAACTATAATGCAGCAAAGGCCAAATGATGAGAAATAGAATTGGTTAATTCATTGCTTAGCAGTCTATTAGTTCTCCTCCCCTCCCGATCCGAGTCGTTCGTTCTATTGTCATGTATGCAGTCTGTAGCGGAAACCGAAATTATTAGTTCACCTTTAGAGTCTCCGCAATTTTGTTGTTTTTTCATTTTACAGCGCCACCAAGTGGCAGTGACCACGTTCTTTTTCACGTAACCACAGACTGAGCCCATACACAGTTGTACCGACTTGGTTAAAATTGTCTCATTCCGTGCAAGAGTTATAGCCAATTTAGTACACCCCGACCTCGCCCACTCTAAATGTCTTTTTTCTGATCACTATTGACAGTCAGATTCCAGAGAATCTTAGGTTTGGGTCAGATCGGGCAAAAAACCTTGGACTAGTATGCAAAAGTAGGTTTTTCAAAAATTTCGTGACCATCAAATCCGAGACATGCGTCCTGTTCTGTTCGAGCCAAGGGTTCCAATGATACAAGACACTTGGGTCTGCAACGGACGGTTTAGGAGTTACTTTTGACCGTCGGGCCGATCAAGGCGAGCCTTGGTGATGTCTTCTAAAGTCATCAGGTCCGAGTCGTTCGACAGCCAACTCTTCATTACCACATTCAATGTTATGGAAAAGAACCATCATGACAGAAATTCACAAATTTATTAATTGTAAGAAATTTGAGACCAGAAATGCATCACTTAACTGTAAGAGTAAAAAAAAAAAACCTAACTATGCGCTTGTTTGTAACCTTACAAACCTCCCTTTACTCTTACAGTTGGGAATTATTAACTAATTTCTGCATCCAATACGGCTGTCACGTCACGTAACAAAAGAACAAATGACTCAGACCCGAAGATTCGGGAGGGTATCTAATCATTTATTTTTCAGGGGCAGACTGCAATGCCTTAACCTATGGGGCTGTCATGTGATGAACGAACGACTCGGACCCGGTGGCTGTGTTCAAAATCGCATACTCTTTTGAGTAGTTACTTATTTTGAATAAGTAATTACTTCATGACCGTTAAAAAAAGCCATGTTCTATATAGTATGAATGTAAACCGGACTTTCCTACATTCGCCATGTTTTCATTATCATGTGACCTACTGTACCAGTGCCAGTTGCGTCACTCACTTCACTGCCATCCACAAATCCTTTTCCATGGCCTCATGGGATAGTAGAGTGTTTATCGTATGCACACTTCAGAATCTTGGGTCATCCGGGTACTTTTTTGCCTACTCTTTTATGAGTACTGTGAATTCGGACATACTTTTTTTGTCACATACACTTTTCGCCTACTATGTAGTAGGGAAGTATGGGATTTCTGATGCAGCCAAAGACTTTCCTGTACAGAACCCATAGGATGTTGCTCATGTGCGGACAACACAAAATGAATGAATCACTCTCTGAGACAACTCGTTGTTCCCGAGTCATATTAAAGATTTGTTCAAATCGTTCATGATCGGCCCATCACTAGAACTGGTGATTTCTGGCGACACGAGCAAAGTGATCGTTGCAAATTAAGAGAGGAGTTGAGTGGAGTGAGTCAGTGGAGCGCATGTTATCCATCAGTCACTACATCCTGTAGTATTTTGTTGGCGACAAGATGGAGAAGTTCATTTTAGCAGTTAACAACTTCCCGGACCTCATCCAGCCGCTGCTCCTGCATAAGACAGTGGTACTCGCCGTGCTCACTCCAAGCCTGAATGGTATCGTGAACCCAGATAGACTGACGCTTTCGACTCTTATAAATAGCTGTGATGACAAAGAGCATTTGCTGTTTCTCGTTCATCTTTAATATTAAGCATTTTATGTACTGATTCCATTTATATTTAGTCTTTTCCCTCCAAAGTCTCTGGCGGTGTGAACGGGGCTTAAGAAATTTTAACTTGTGTGAAAATAAATTAATGTTCATATTTCTCCCTCATATATAGTGCCTTCTATGAAGACTGGGCTTTTGTCCTGGATGAGGAGAGAGCCAGTATGCTTCCCACTATGGCTGCAGGTAATATTACAGTAAGATATTTACCATTTGCTTCTGTTAGTTTGCATAACGTTATAAAGTATAGCTTGGCATCCTTCCTTGTGCAAGTGTCAATTCAGTGTATGTGTCATCAGGGCTCAATTCCATCCTGTTTGCCATCAACATTGACAACACGGACCTAAATGGCCAGGCCCGTGTGGGACCGTCTGTCTCCCACCTGCTTAAGGAGTCCACACAGGGCATGAGCAGTTTGTGGAAAGAGTCTACTCAAGGTGTCAGCACACTTCTGCGGGAAATCGGCACTGCCACTGCGGTGGTTCCTGGTTTCATCCCTCGCTCCGATGCTCCATCAGACCCACTGCCTGTCTTGCCCCGCAGCACTTCTGCAGGTTCTTGAATCACATGCTATATAATAATTACACATGCACTGGCAAAAAAAAAAAAGTGCAAAATTTTTACTTTTGGGGGTACAATAGCTTGTCACTGGGGTTGTAACCTTAAAGAGACAACTTTGTACCTTATCACTACTCTAAGGTACAAATATGCACCCTTAAGGCCACTATATACTCACTGTGAAGTTCTTTTCTGTTTTCACTTGGGGGTCAAAAGAAGTTTGAAATACTTTTTCAGGGGTGTACTGTTGAGTGAATATCCCAACGCCGCCCACGTTGCTGAGAGCGGCATTTAGATGAATATGTAAATATGTGCTGCAAGCTTTTCTATCTAAAACAAAATAAACACAAGAAAGTATCCGATCATAGCGATGTGGATATGTTTGCTGACAAAAATAGTGTCAGTGTGGCTTTCAATTAGAATTACAACCTTAATTTCTACTATAAAGCAGCTCTCCAGTGTGTTCATGTTTTTACTTGCATCTGACCGTGACAGACTGAAGGCGTAAGGAATGAAAGCAGAGCCCCAAAATACGCCTACCTATTATGTAATCGCTACAGACCAATGGAACCAGGTGTTTACCAGCCAGAGTGAAATTTTCCTGATAGTTCGCTTTGGAAAGATGTTTCGAACTCCTAAAACAAATTTCAAATGAACTTCATTTTGGCCTGATTGATCAAAATGGCATCAAACGAGTTCTTCGATTTTGCTTCAAGTTTATCGGGAGTATCTGTAAGTTACGACTATGACTTGCTTTTCGGTGTAAAGGTACAGTAAAGATGTCCCTTTATGGGTACTACCCCACTGACATGCTGTTGTATCCTTAAAGATATGATTTGTGCTCTTTTTTTTTGTGAGAGTGTGTTTTATTTCCTGTTCTTCTACTAATGAATATTATTGTGATGTATTCAATTGATGATTGAGATTCAGTTGCCATTGTTTAGTTACCCTTATATTATTGATTTAATTGCATTTTAGATTCCGGTTTAAGAAAAGAGCGTAGACGTAAAAAGAAGATCACAAACATAATCTCGTTTGACGATGACTTGGACGTGGGTGCGGAAGATGAGGACGAGGCTGTTGAGGACGTTGTGAAGAGTCTCAGAAAGAGTACGATGGGTCATATGAGTTCTGAGGAGGCTGTGGACCCTCCGGATTCTACCTCTCCCATTCATAATGGCCTGACTGAGCCTGGGATTGTGAGATGGGGCGAAACGCCCACAGAGAATGGAGTGCTGCCCGATACCAAGAGCATTGACAATGAGGAGGAGGAAGATGATGACATTTATGGAAAGAGCAGGCAGGAGCCCCCACAAGAGGATCATGGGAATGGGGAGCGGTGAGTTTACTTAAAAGCTGTTCCCGAAATCGCCCCTTATACCAATAGATTGGGCACTATTTGAGGGGACAGCCATTTGTAGTGGTGTCTGAAACCATAGTGGACATTGAGTGCACTCATTCAATCTGATAATGCACCGCAATAACGGGTGTACAGCTGATGTACACTCAACGGCCAGAGAATACCCATAATGCACTGTGAGGGTCGTGCCGAATAAATTCCCGGGTCTCGCCAGAAGATGGCGCCCGCAGCTGAATTATTCATCCACCCATTTTCCAAACCGCTGGTCCAATGTGGGTACAGCGTAATATCATACAGTTATAATTTCCTTTTTAATTGATCATTAAATTGTTTAATTAAGGTTTATACATGCTAGTTTCCATGACACAATTCAAGAAAAATCTTTTCATTACTACTGGAGCTGCCAGTTTGCTACATTTCAAATGATTATTAAACGGCAAGCACAAACTATGCACATTCAGTGTCCGAATTCGCTCACTCATTTCATTCAATACTTCAAGTGGACTATATTAGTGGAGTAATGTAGGGAATAGTGAATGAGGGTATAGGGGGCGATTTCGAACAGCTAAAGTCTTGCTTTCAAAAGTCAAAAGTAAGTCTCGAGTCTTTGCATTCAAGTCCCAAGTCAAGTCCCGAGTCAAGACAGGCAAGTCCAAGTCAAGTTGCAAGTCCTCGAGGTTTCAAGTCTTAAACAAGTAATTTGTGCTTTTTGCATAAATTTTTGTTTCAGTGTTAATTACTATAGTAAATGAAATGTATATAATTTACATCAGGAAGGCTTTTAAAATGTTCATGACTTTGCAGTTCAATTTAATATTTTTTGCGATAAAATTTTCACTAAGGGCACCCATCTATCTCAGTTCAATTTAGGGATTGTTTTTACGTGTGACAAAATAAGGAAAAGGCAGTAAAAAATTTTTTTTTTAATGGAAACCCAGTAACTAAGGCAAAATCATTTAATAGAAATAACTGCTACACATTTTGTATGTTTGTGAGAGAGAATGTGTCTGAGTGTATTCTAAGCCATTATTTAGAACCTAAAGTAAATCTTAGAAAAAACATCTGTGAGAAACACAGATGCATAAGAAATAACTGCTACTATACCACATTTTACAAATGAGAGAGGAAACATTTTTCATTTGGTTTGATAAATAACATATAAGGTGATATCAAATCATTTTCGTAAGGTTTGATTATAACATTCTGCTCTGCATAGGTTGGTTGTGGGGAGTTTATCCAGTGTTTCTACATGGAGTCCAAGGCAAATCATCGCAGATAATGACAATGACAACTCGCACATTCTCATACCTCTGGCCTCCAGCGAGCCCTATACACAACAAGGTCAGACCCACATCCTGTCAGACACTGTGCTCATTCAGGGACATCTTGCTGTGTTTTCATGTTTGAGTCCACATAGATGTGGCTGGCATTTTTATGTCTTCTGATTGTTCAAATGGATGAGTTTAACTTAAATGTAGCACTAATTAATTGAGTGTGTAATGTGTGAGTACAATATTGGCATAGAGAAATGTGCTATTTTTGTACTTTCAGCTGGTAGTTCAGTTGAAAATGTCGAATTTCATGGACCGAAGGAGAGCTCAAGCCCACCAACTGACAGTGAAAAACAAAGCCAACTCCAATTTAGGTATCTGATACAAAAGAACACTTTTTTTTTTTTTAAATGAGATTTTCTTTGAAGACTAATGCTTATTGTCTGTGTTATTGGCTGTCTTAGCATGGAGCCCGACTCACCAGCGCAGATTTCTCCCGTGACCAGTGTTCTGCCGACCCCTGGCCTTCCAGAGTCCATGACCATTGGTGAGTCGACCTAAGATATCATTGTCCAGAGATTTGATCTTTATTTTTTTTTATTTTTTTTTGAAAGTTACAACTGTACTGAAACATGGTTTATACTAATTTAAAGGGATCGTTCACCCTAAAATAATCGTCATTTGTACTCATTTATTGACCTAATTTCAAACCTCTATGCTGTTGAAGAATTGAATAATCTTATCTTCACACAGCTCTTTTCAATAAAACCATCAAGCTCCAAAAAAAGAGAGAACATTTACACTACTGTTTCAAAGTTTGGGGTCAGTAAGATAAAATAAAAAAAAGAAATGAATACTTTATTCAGCAAAAAAGCAATAAATTGATCAAAAGTGACATTATAGACTTTTACATTGTTACAAAAGGTTACCATTTCATGAAAAAAAGTATCATGGTTCCACAAAAATGTTAACATGGACAACTGTTTTTAATGTTGATAATAAGAAAAGTTTCTTTAGCTAAATCAGCATATTAAAATGGTTTCTGAAGGTTCATGTTTAAACTCAATCACAGGAAGAAATAATTTTAAAATGCTTTAAAAAAGAGGTTATTTTAAATTGTAATAATATTTCACAGCATTACTGTTTAAATAAGTGCAGCCTTGGTGAGCATAATCGACTTCTTTAAAAAGCATTAAAAAAATCTTAGTGACCCCCAAATTTTGAATGGTAGTTGAATGGTGTCGTGTGCCTCGTCCTATGTCTTCTGAAGCCATACGACTGCTTTGTTACCTGTGGTCACTATGAACTTTGTTGTATGAATGGATGAAGATTCTTCAAAAATTATCTTTTTGTTTCTACAACAGACTGTTTTGGAACAACATGAAGGTCAATAAGTAATGATTATTAATATTTTAAATATCTGTAATGACAGAACATTAATTTTTGAGTGAACTGTTTCTTTAACTATACGTTTTGCATATTTTTGCATACTACATCTAAACAAAGGATGTAGGCCTTTGAGGATTTGTGCTGTGGACAGATGGCATCATTGAGGTAATTTGCCTTGACTACAGCTCTGTTGTCTAGTGGTTTGGTGCAGATGTGAGACCGTTTTAATCATTTAATTTTAATCAATCGTTTAAATATTGGCCATATGACTTTGCCTTTGAAAAGACGACTTTGAAACTGTAAATTATGATGGTAATCTATCACTTTACCGTCTTTGTGCTGTGGAGACATGCTACACTTGTAAGCACATTATTCTGGACTTCTATGGGATTAAATGGGATTTCTATTCTTTTGATTCATCCCCTGCATACTTCCTCTTTCCAGATGAGGGCAATGTTGGTTCAGTGTGAAACACTCATGTTGTCTCTCTCTCTCTCTCTCTCTCTCTCTCTCTCTCTCTCTCTCTCTCTCTCTCTCTCTCTCTCTCTCTCTCTCTCTCTCTCTCTCTCTCTCTCTCTCTCTCTCTCTCTCTCTCTCTCTCTCTCTCTCTCTCTCTCTCTCTCTCTCTCTCTCTCTCTCTCTCTCTCTCTCTCTCTCTCTCTCTCTCTCTCTCTCTCTCTCTCTGTCTCTCTCTCTCTTTTGTCTGGACAAAACACAACTTTGAGATGGGGCTGGAGGTGACTGATCCAGTTTTACTTCAGCTTTCAAAAATAAAAAGGAGAAAAGATGAAAGCAAGAAAATATTCCATGCAGAGTGCCAGAATCTGCTTGTGCTCCTCTCAGACATGAGTAAAATTCAATTTCAGATCAAACATGGCTTTCTCAGTATGCCTTAATAACCTATTAAATCCTATTTGATTATGGATACAACGAACATTACCTTCAAGGCTTGAAAATGCTGTTTTCTCCTTATTTTTTTTTCATCAGCTATATTGTAGACAGCTTTTTCACCTGGATCCATCATATTCATTTGCCTTTTGTTAACATCGTAGTTTGCTTATATGCAAAAAACAGCTATAAGACATTCTTAAAGGGATACTCCATTTAAAAATTAAAAAATTAAATATTCATTGTCATTTACTCACAATTATGTCATTACTGTCTTCTGTGAAAAATAAAAGACAATATTTAGTGAACCAAAACTGTTTGGTTACCATTATAACAAGTTTTACGACATTGGCAAGATTGTCTTAAATGATAGCAATATCTATTTGTTCAACCAATGGCAGACGAGGGTTCTGATCGCGAAAACCTTTTTGTACAGTATGTTGCATCCGCTGATGCGAATGAGAAAAGATGGCGCCTGTGGATGGTCTGCCGTCTGTCGCGCCTCCTCTCCCTCTTTTCGCTCTTTCTACTGTTTCTTTTGATTCCAAATTGTTGTGCACTTTTGATGTATGATCATCAAACGTTGCTGGATATTCTAACCTCTGTTCTTGCTGCCAGAAAGGCCGACGCAAAACATTTCAGTGGCAAATCTCTGAGACACGCTTAGTAAGCTTGTAGAAAAAGAGGGAACAGTTGTGGGATTAGTCTTCTGGGAACAGTTGTAATTAATACTATGAACAAACCTATCTTACGTGGCTTACGAGTGAGTGGGAAAGGAATATTTTATTTATGTATTTTCAGCCAATCACAATCATGAATATTTCTATTCTTGTCTATTTAGTCCAAGTCTATTTAAGCCCATTCCTGATGTAATACCAGTTGTAGCATTTTTATGAACAGTATTTTTTTTTTTTTTTTGCTGTTTATCATATGTCTTATAAGTAACAACTAAAATAACCTTCCCATTTTAAAGGTACACTGTTACTTTTTTGTTCAAAATTACCACAATGAGTCAATACATTTTTAACATGTTTTTGTCTTACTATGGCAAGGCTATTATAAGTGTTTATATTTTAGACCTGTCAGGATGGTTCTTGCAGGAAATTGCATATATACACTCACCTAAAGGATTATTAGGAACACCTGTTCAATTTCCCATTAATGCAATTATCTAATCAACCAATCACATGGCAGTTGCTTCAATGCATTTAGGGGTGTGGTCCTGGTCAAGACGATCTCCTGAACTCCAAACTGAATGTCAGAATGGGAAGAAAGAGCGTGTTTTGAGCGTGGCATGGTTGTTGGTGCCAGACGGCCAGTCTGAGTATTTCACAATCTGCTCAGTTACTGGGATTTTCACATACAACCATTTCTAGGGTTTACAAAGAATGGTGTGAAAAGGGAAAAACATCCAGTATGCGGCAGTCCTGTGGGCGAAAATGCCTTGTTGATGCTAGAGGTCAGAGGAGAATGGGCCGACTGATTCAAGCTGATAGAAGAGCAACTTTGACTGAAATAACCACTCGTTACAACCGAGGTATGCAGCAAAGCATTTGTGAAGCCACAACACGCACAACCTTGAGGCGGATGGGCTACAACAGCAGAAGACCCCACCGGGTACCACTCATCTCCACTACAAATAGGAAAAAGAGGCTGCAATTTGCAAGAGCTCACCAAAATTGGACAGTTGAAGACTGGAAAAATGTTGCCTGGTCTGATGAGTCTCGATTTCTGTTGAGACATTCAGATGGTAGAGTCAGAATTTGGCGTAAACAGAATGAGAACATGGATCCATCATGCCTTGTTACCACTGTGCAGGCTGGTGGTGGTGGTGTAATGGTGTGGGGGATGTTTTCTTGGCACACTTTAGGCCTCTTAGTGCCAATTGGGCATCGTTTAAATGCCAAGGCCTACCTGAGCATTGTTTCTGACCATGTCCATCCCTTTATGGCCACCATGTACCCATCCTCTGATGGCTAATTCCAGCAGGATAATGCACCATGTCACAAAGCTTGAATCATTTCAAATTGGTTTATTGAACATAACAATGAGTTCACTGTACTAAAATGGCCCCCACAGTTACCAGATCTCAACCCAATAGAGCATCTTTGGGATGTTGTGGAACGGGAGCTTCGTGCCCTGGATGTGCATCCCACAAATCTTCATCAACTGCAAGATGCTATTCTATCAATATGGGCCAACATTTCTAAAGAATGCTTTCAGCACCTTGTTGAATCAATGCCACGTAGAATTAAGGCAGTTCTGAAGGCGAAAGGGGGTCAAACACAGTATTAGTATGGTGTTCCTAATAAAGGTATTTTATTGAATGAATAAATTGCCATGTGTAGCTCTCTAACAGATAATGCACTGATAATGCATTGTAATGCATTATCTGTTGTGAAGGGTCATATTCATCCGCACTGTCACTCGGAGCCAAAGCACAACCAAAACAATGTTCTTCTGCAAAATACATGCAGTTTTATTTTTTTACTGTTAGAAAAGCCAAAAGTTACAAACCTTTTAACTTTTTTGGTTTTGTTTAAAGTATCATGTTGTGAGATCAGTATAGTGTATCGAACCAATTGTAACACCCCTACATGTAACACAAAACTTCAGGTTCAATCCCAAGTAGGGGTGACCCCAATGCGCTTTTTGAGCAGACTCTTAATCTCAGGTTTCTCCAGAGGGAATCTCCATGCAGATAATACAGCGTAAATAGCCTTTGATGAAAAGCCTATGTGCTAAATGTGAACCGATGCCAGGTGTCTCAGACTGCTGTCTGTGAACCTTATTTTCTGGGAAGCAAGTCAAAGCTTTGCCTCCTGTACTTGCTCCTGCCTGCTTCCTCTCAGGATTACAAACATACTTGGACCGCCTCACCCTGGTGTGTTTCTCCTCCTCCAGATGAGGGGCTATGGGAGCGGGAGCGGGAGCGGGCTCATCCGCAAGAATTCTCCTCCAGATCCCTCTCCAACACACACACACACACACACACACACTTCTGCGGTCCAGTGTAGCATAACTGTGACAACCACGTAGTGCATTGTGCATTTAAAATCCTTTGTGTGGGTGAAAACAGCCCTAAACAGTTTGTTTGATTTGTTCTGTTAAATATAGTGCTATGTATATAATTGGTATATAATACATTTGGAACAGTCCAGTAAGCACACAGGACTAGGCAGTTATACTAACAGTCTTTATTGGAAAACACCAATCATTCTTATCGGTCAGTTCTGGCATTGAGTGGAATGGATAGGTCATACATGGATTATTAGCAATATTTTGCTGATGTTCTTTGGGAATATCATGAATTTCATGATAATGTTAAAAGTTTAGCTCATATAGACGGTAAGCCAATTTCACTCCCCTTGAAAAGCAGCTGATAGTTTGCTGCTTTCAAATGCTCCCGTGAATATTTTTATGATCATTCTGTGAAGAGCGGCAAATATTTCTATTTCTATTTTTTGCAGCATTGAGCATTGTAGCCAATCACAGACATGTCTGTTAAGTGCATTAACATAATGATAAATCAGACGTGTTTGTTATTCAGAATCCCCTCAATGCTGCTCAAAACGCCTGAGTTTTTGTTTAAAGTGAGGTCGTAGAATGAGTGCTCATTAATCCTTTCATTACAACCAACAAAGTGTAAAGATTATGCAAATATGAGATTGATTATGCAGCGTAGACAGGTTTTTGTTTAAAAGGGGAGCATCAGTGTGGAACTCCGTGAGATTGCGCTGAACTGAAGTGATTGACAACTTCAGTGATTATGGAGGGAGTGCTCTTTGCTCACTTTCGGTATATAACAATTTAAAGAAAAGTTTTATTTTTAGGGCTGCTAACTGCATGCTGCAATTTTTTGGGAGTGACAAACGTATTTAAGTGCAGAACTGAATCTGAAAGTGCTGTGATTGACAGTGAAAACCATAGAAACAAAGTCCTTTGTTCTTCATTTTATTACTAACTTTTCACTTGACCTTTTTAATGTTTACTTAACTGAAAATTATTTGAGGGAAACATGCTGTTTTTGAGGTTTATTTACTTATTAGCATTAATAATGAACTAATTAAATTGTATATTTTTAATTTTTAAATAGTTTCAATAGTTTTTGTTATGGTACAGAAATTGGTACAGAGAACCGTCAAATTTTACTTGCATTGGTGCCGACTAGGGGTTGGTGATATGACCATATTCACGGTAACATGGTGAATAAAACGTGAAAGAGAACTGAATTCGCGATCGCATCCTGAGAGACGTGCTTTTTCCCTGTGTGTCAGTCAGCCCGTGCTGCGCATTGAGTTTCACTGCTTATTGTGCTTAATAACACTTTTTAACACCGAGCGCATCATAAATTCGCGATCACCTTCTGAGCGAGGCAGCTTTCTGTGTGCGCCAGTCTGCATGAGCACCGCACCGAGTTCTTTTTCAGGATATTGTGATTATAACTCTTTTTATATTGCACTTACGGTATAGTTCTTTTTTTAACATCAAGCATGGCCCGCTCTTTATATCGTCATTCATGCATTTCATCACTCTGAAGTGTCAATAGTGCTATATTTTTACACACCATGATATAGCAAAATCTCTAACGATAGACTTATATCATGGTAATGATGTATATCGTCAAACAGCCAAGTATGCGCGTAATGCTAATGTTCAATAATAAAGAAGTTGAGGACGCCATCTCCTCATTCAATAAAGTTCTGTGGCTCCAGTGAGAAATGATCATTTCACTAAGGAGTGGGGTCCCTTATTCACCTCTTGAGATCTTTTTGTTACAGTTTTGAGTATTCATTTACATAATACTTTATGAGTACATTTGTATGATTTTTAAAAACTATTATTTTGGAGTTTGTCTCAGTTCAGGTTTTATTACTGAATTGATGTGTTTTTTTGCCTTTTGGGTTTGTTTGTTCCTCAAGGGGTTGTTAAATGTTTTTGTTGAGAGGTGTAATTGCTAATTTTCAAGAGTTGCTTTTTGCCTCAGGATCGTTTCTTTAATTTACTTTTTCATTTGGGAATATATTTAGCATTCCTACCCTTGTATGTTTTTCAAAAAAAAATTTTTTATGTGTAAAAATCACATCCCAACAACTCAAGTCCTGAGTGTATCACTTTGCCAGCTTTACTATATACAAACCACACAGAAAAATGACTAAAAAACAAGTGTAGTCCTTTTCTTGAAACCATTTTCTGGAAATAGTTTTTTAAAGGGACATTGCACACAAGTTTACTGAAGCTCTTTCTGATTACGCCTATGGCTGCCAAATGGATCTCTGGTGGTCTGATAAGCTTTTTCTCTTAGAGACGCAATAATTGAGCTACATCGCTGTACCAATGTTGTTGCTACTAAAAAATAAAATAAAATAAAAAAGTAACAAAGACATCTTTGACTTTCTTTTGCTGAGAGTACTTTAAACTTGTTAAATGTGGATCAGGCTAGCCAGGTTTATATAGATGGCTCCGTCCAAGCCTACGGTTCCTCTGAGATTCATTAAATGATAATGGACTGATAGGAGTGTTCAGACTTTGTCTTTTGGAGCCGTGTTGTTGGGGTTATCTAGGTTACCCAGTGCCAGGTTATCCAGCTTTGAGAGTGCAGCGACAACAAAGACTCTCTCTCTCTGTCCTCTTTACTCTCCATGAAAGTCTGGATTTAGACTATACCAAGTGCTGCCGTTTTTTACTAGTGTTTTGAAGTGCTGTAATAATGCTTCCCAGTCAGAGCTTTATGTTTCACTCGGATTATTCACAGACTAATGTGTTTTGAGACAGAATCTGCAGAGGCTCCCCTTACGGCTGTGTTATAAATGCCTTACCCTTTCACGTCACCTTCATTTTAAAGAAATTAATGTCTGGCTGATATTTTAAGCCTCACATAGTTCTCTTTATTAGTTCTGTGGTGCTATACAAATGAAAATGTCAGTGGTATAAAACAGTAACCCTTATTGAAAGAATGAAGACTGGTGTGGGACATTAAATCCCTCTGAGATATTGAGTCTTATTGTTCAGAAGTCATGTTTTTTTCTGAGTTGGGTGAGGACAAAAGCCATTGTTCATTTTGAGTAGGTTTTGATACCTTTATAACATTGTTTTTCTCCATCCTTAGCTGAACTGCGGCAAGCCATTGTGGCCATGATGAACAGGAAAGATGAACTCACTGAGCAGAACACGTAAGAATTTCTTTACCGTTTTCACTGATTGCACCTTTTGCTCATTCATGAAACATGAACAGATTTGTCTAGAAATCTGTTCTTAAAACTATTCTTTTGGGTGAGAACGTTTTTTAGCAATTTTCAGAAATGTGTTCTGCTTGTGTTTCATGGATGTATTTTCTTTAAAATTGTGATTTTAGCCGGTCACACCATGATACTGACTTTCATTAAAATGATACAATATCTTATTTTTTATATATAATCTGTAGAATTAACATATAATAATAATAATAATAATAATTGACATATCAGTAATACTTTACAATAAGGTTTCGTTTGTTAACATTAGTTAACATGAACTAATGATAAACAATACTTATACAGCATTTATCTTTATTTCTACATTTACTGACACATTATTAAAGTCAAAAGTCGTATCTGTTAACATTAGTTAATGCACTGTGAACTAACATGAACAAACAGTGAACAATTGGTTAATATATGCTGTAAAAATACACTACCGTTCAAAAGTTTAGGGGTCGGTACGATTGTAAATACTTTTAAAAGAATTCTCTTCTGCTAACCATGGCTGCGCTTATTTGATTAAAAATACAACAAAAATCAGTTATAGTATTAAATATTATTCCAGTGTAAATCAGCTGTTTTCTGTGTGAATATATAGTAAAGTGTAATTTATTCCTATGATCAAAGCTGAATTTTCAGCATCACCAGTGTCAGTGTCTTCAGTGTCAAATGATCCTTCACAAATCAGTATAATATGAGGATTTGATGCTCAAGAAACATTTATTATTATTATCAATGTTGAAACAGTTGTTGGTCTGTCAGTTGTACAGTTTTTTTTTTTAGGATTCTTTTATGAATAGGAAGTTCAAAAGACTTTTGTAACATTATAAATGTCTTTACTGTCACTTTCGATCAAATTAATTATTCCTTGATAAATAAAAGTATTGATTTCTTTCCTCCAAAAAATAAAAATAAAATTCTCACTGACCCCAAACTTTTGAACGGTAGTGTATATATATATATTCAGTTAGTTCATGTTAAATAATGATGTTAACAAATGAGACCTTATTGTAAAGTGTTACTCATATGGTAATTTAAGTTTGTTTAATTGTTAAATTTAAGTTTATTAGTTAGTTAAGTAGTTGATTTTAATATTTTTATGTGATGTGTATTGTAAAGTAACAATCAAATACAGTACTGTTCAAATGGGGTCAACTTCTTTGAAAAGTAATAAAAAAATTTTTTAAGCAAGGATGGATTGACTTGATCAAAAATGACTGAAATCTTTTGTAACATTATACATTTATTTACTATATTAAAACAATTGCTGTTCTTTTAAGCATTCTATTCATCAAAGAATCCTGAAAAAATGCACCACAGTGTCCACAAAAAACATTAAGCAGCACAACTGTTTTCAGCATTGATAATAATAATGTTTCTTGAGCACCAAATCAGCATGATTTCTAAAGAATCATGTGACACTGAAGTATTGTTTGTAAAATTTGTAATAATAGTGTCATAAGATTTAAACGGTAGTGTATATAAGTGTTTTTAACTAGATTTAGCATTGGTTACAGTATTGCACAAATTGCAAACTGCATTTAAAATAAATAGAAAACAACTCACTATTACCTAAATATATATTATTGAGATTGGGGAGATTTAAGTGTCTCCTCTCACTGACCCCTTGTTAAAAAATTACTTGAGTTTCAGTGAGTATAAGGCCTTGTTTTGTACCCCATTTGTGAAATGTGCCATGATGTGCACAGTCAATAATGTGCAGCTGGGTAATTATCCTGTGCACTGGTAGTCATTAAACACAGCTAAGAAAAAGTGGGTCAGATGTGTGTGTCTCTTAATGATGTTAAACTCTTTGGCACAGGTCTCTGCGCAGTCTCCTGGATGGAGAGATGGAGCACTCTGCTGGGCTCAGGCAGGAGGTGGACAGCCTGAAGAAGAAACTGGCTGAGCTAGAGGAGAGACATGCGGCCAAAGTCCATGCTCTCATGAGGTAATTTCACTAGAGGCTAACCGAAACAAGGTCTCACATAGGCAGGATATCAGCCTAAATTCTAGTCTTGCCAAACACCAGACAGAAAGCAGCTATCTGACCTACATGTGAAGCACATGGTTGCTTTTTTTCCCCTTTAGTTTAGGTTTGAGAAAATCTGAAATTGGTGATTCCACAGTGATAGTAATAGACTGTAGCTACAAATAACTGTTCAGTAGTCTATGCAAATGTTGCACAACAATATCAAAGAAGTAATTGAAAAATGTGTGTTCATTTCGTGGCCAGATTATAATTTATTTCATGGACAGGTTTTTCATCTCTCTACCTTGGTACTTGCAACAAAAAAATATTACATTTGTTGGCACAAACTTCACAGCCTTGAGCTTTGAGGTTGCCAAACAACAGTATTTGTGGATATAAATGACTTTATCTGCATTTTTGTATGTACAATTCCTGCTGAATTCCCAGAGATGTACCATCATCTTGAAGAGAGATCCACCAGTCAGAGAAGTTTCAAGTGAAAAATGGAATCGCAGCCTGCGGAGTTTGTGTGTGTTGTGGAGACTAGCTAGAGGATAACATTAGCTGGCTAATGTTAGTATTAATTAACATGAAATGTTGTAGTGTTAGAGCATAATTGGCTGTGTTTTCAGAAAATACATTAAAACGATTAAAAACACTTCCTGGTAGGGCTGCACGATTCTTGCTAAAATGTGAATCACGATTTTTCTCCATGGGAATTGAGATCACGATTCTCTTACACGATTCTCATTTTTTCATCCAAAATGTATTGCACTCAAGTACAAAAAAACAACAACAACAAAAAAACACATGACATACAGTATAATAAAGTGCAGTAACAAAAAAAATTCTAAATTGTTTAAGCTGGTGTTTTGGGGTTGTGCTAGCCTATGTAGCTGTCTGTGTATTACATGAACTAAAAGAAAGTGTAGGCTATTTATAATATTTTCTGGCTAGTTTACTTTAGCTTTTTTTATAATACACCATACTTTCACCCAAACTGAATAATTGAAAACAAGTTTAAATGGGTAGCCTAAAACTTCTATTAATATTTTCGAGTCTTCATTTTCTTTTTTTGCCTACTTCAGTTCTTGTTAAAACTGACTAGACATGCTTATTCTGTGTGAAATTACTTTTTGTGTGAAATCATATTTATTTTGTCCATCAAAAGTGTGCTTTCACTTTAATTGAGCGTGAGCAGTGCAGCAAAGTGCCAAAACCCGCGTTTCACTGCTGCTCACGTGCTGCTCCTGCTCCCGGTGTGAATACGATTAACATGCAAGCCCAAAAAAATATGCGCTGCTCACGTGCATCAACTTTAATTTAGACATTCCCTGATGAAACCGCCGTATGATTGATTGGTGAATTAATAGTGTTTTGTTATTGTGTGAGTGTGACCAATATAACGCGTGAATGCAGCATGATCTGAATGCAGGGAAATACACGGAAGTGAATCGCCATCATTAAGAAATGAGATCGCATTTATGTTTGAATCGAGATCGTGATTTTTTTTTTTTCGATTAATCGTGCAGCCTTACTTCCTGGGATATGGGATATTCTAATACACTACCATTCAAAAGTTTGGGTTTAAGATTTTTTTTGAAAAAGGTCTCTTATGCACATCGAGGCTGCATTTATTTTATAAAAAATACAGTAAAAACAGTAATATTATGAAATGTTATTACAATTTAAAATAATAACTGTTTTCTATTTTAATAGATTTAATTTATTTATTTATTCCTGTGATGGCAAAGCTAAATTTTCAGCATCATTACTCCAGTCTTCAGTGTCACGTGATCCTTTAGAAATCATTCTAATATGCTGATTTGCTGCTCAGGAATCATTTCTTATTATTATCAATGTTGAAAACAGTTGACTACTATTAATGTTTGAAACCGTGATTTTTTTTTTTCTGAATATGATCAATTTAATTCACCTTTATTGAATAAAATGACAAATTTCTTAAAAAATAAATATAAATTATAAATGACCCCCAACTTTTGAACAGTAATGTAAATTATTTGTAGTCCTTGAGTTGTTCTTTTATAATCATTAAGTCTTTACCTTTTTGAAAATTTTCAAATACTTTCTTCATTGCCAAATCAAATGTGGTGATTAATCTTGTGGAATGATTATTATTATTATTTTTTTAAAGTTTAAGGCTTAGAAATCATTATTGAAGAAATTTCTTAAACGTCTATGGAGAAAATCAATTAGAAAAATACATAAAAGGTCTGCTGCTGAGACTAACCAAAGAATGACGCAAGTTAAAATTGTTACAGTTATCCTCAAAGTCATCAGAAACCTTCAAGTGTTGTATTAATTCACTCCAAGGATGAGCAACATCAAATTGATTACCACTGCTTCAGTAAAGCATGCTTTTCTAACCAAAGTCTTTCCCATATCTTCCTGTCTCTGAGTCTTGCAAACTGAAAAGTTGAGAGTCCAGTCTGTTTTTCTGACTGAAACCTAATCTGTCCCTGTCGATAAAGGCTAAAAATAAGGTGTGGAAATGCTCGGTGTGGCTGTGCGCTCAGAAGAAGCACCTGTGAACCGTGCTCTTGGGTTGAGCTCCATTGATTCAGCCTGGCTCAGTGGGCAGTATTTAAGTAGCGGGATCCATACGGCAAGAAGCTAAAACGCTCTCACAATCCTCTCCCACGCCATCACATCCAGGTTTAACCAGACGAGCAGAAACATGAAGGGATGGTCGTGGTAGCGTCTGGCGATCGTAATAATACTTTACCGAACGGTGCCGAGCTGCCAGGGTTTTTGTCTTCCTGAAGTGCTGCGGGATTATTGGGAGAGGCATCTTGCTTTTGTGAGCATTTCATCAGCTCTAATGTAGTGGTTCCTCAGGGGGATAATGTGGGGAGTGAATGAACAAATTAATTTAGCTCAGTAGGAGGACAGCGGCCGAGAGCAGGAGGCAGGCTTGTCAGTATGACGCTGTGTCAAAGAGAGGATTATGGGGAAGAAAACCACACTCAGTATCATGCTGGTGACATCTGCACCGTTTCTGGATGGTGCATCCCTCCAATTGCTTTTCATCAGCCTGTTTAGGCAAACTGACACCGAGTTGGCCTCGTTTACAAGTCAACTCAGTAATGTATCTGAAAGCACCGCCACCAGCCTACCCTTTTCGTATTTACCATTGCAAGAGTGTTTAGTCTACGTGTCACCTCGAGACCGTATTCTTCTGATTCACATTTAAATGTATTTGACTTCGGCTGTGGCTGTAATCGCCACATTCTGTAACACTAAAGATAGTAGCAGCTGCTGCATAATGCCGGTTCTGTGCTTGGCATTTTATTTACCTGTAGCCTTAGGGAGATAGAAATGGGTTTTGGGAAGGGCATCTAGACTGCGGTCGTGCATAGTCATGTCTAGGGCTTTTTTACATTGGCAGTGCTGAAGGAAAATCTGTAGAATTCTACAAAATATATTTTATGCATTCAACATTGTTGATTGAAGTTGGTGAGGTACCTCGTACCTCTAGAATTCCCAAACTTTTGTCAGCCGAACATTTAGAGAATATACTTGAAGTAAATATTCCTTCTTGAGATTTTACGTTAATTCATCAATAATTTAACAACACAGTCATGGTTCAACATCTTCATGGTTCTGGTCACATGGCATGAAGGTAAACGATCAAATATTTCATCTTCTTGAGGGTTTTATTTTAATCGTTTTTTTTATTTTAAAATGATTTGTTTATTGTTTATTTTTTTTCAATTTTATGACTTAAACTCATGAACCCCCTGTGGTTCCTCACAAACCCCTGCTCTAGCTGTTGTTCCAGGAGATTCAGACCAATAAAATATTTTTAACAGAGTAAGATCACTTTTATTAAGATATTATTAATGTATTCGTTATAGCTTAATTTAAAGGATATATTGGTCATTAGGCTATTTAATTCAGATCTATGGTGACTTTTTATTATTAGAATATATAAATGACAAACTATTAAAATAAATAATGACGCAATTTTCATGATGCAGCGGCTATTTTAATTAAACAATATTATGCATAATTACAAGATTTATAAGAATTATAATTATAAGGTTGTTAAGATTATAGGACCAATTAATCATCTGTGTGCCAAAATTTGAATCAGAATTTATATGAATTTTATGAATACGGATGTTATAGGTCTGTGGAACTTTCTTCTGTGTTCATAAACAAAATACATAACACGCTATTATAGTATACATTTATAGAATTTTATGAATGATGGGTGTTACGGTTCTGGGGAACTTTTTGCATAATTCTGCAACCAGGGAGGATGTAATGCATTCCAAGTGCTAAATCCTTTGTAGCTTATTCTTTTAATACTTTTTCTATAATCCATTTTCCTTAATGAATTTACATTTAGGGAATTAATTTATTAAGTGTTTTTTTAATAGAAAACATTTCTCTCCTGGGTCTGTGTAAGGTTGCATGTGTGAAGCACGTTGCAAGAGTCATACTTTAATAATATGTCACAAGTGTGTTTAAGTGAACATTTACATTTATTCATTTAGCAGATGCTTTTATCCAAAGCGACTTACAAATGAGGAATGCAACAAACAATTTATCATAAAGAGGAAATAAACACGATAAGTGCTAGTAATACAAAGTTTCAGACATCAATTAGATTAGTAAAAGCTAGAACAGGAATAGTGAAAGCATATGGAAGGAATTTTATTCTGTGCTGATGGAAGAGATGAGTTTTCAGTTGTTTCTTGAGTATTATCAGGGATTCGGCGTTCCGGATAGAGTTGGGAAGATCATGTAACTATGTAACTGGTGGCCACTGCAAAGAGATAAACAGAGGTGTGACGTGGGCTCTCTTGGCCTCATTAAAGACTTGCTGCTGTGTTCTGAATCATTTGAAGAGGTTTGATTGTTCATGATGGAAGTCCAGCCAGAAGAGCATTGCAATAGTCCAGCCTAGAAATTACAAGGGCCTGGGCGAAAAGTTGTGCAGCATGCTCCGTTAGGAAGGGCCTAAACTTCCTGATGTTGTGCAGTGCAAACATGCATGATTGTGCTATTCTTGAAATGTGGTCTTTTGAAGGTCAGCTGGTCATTAAAGATTACTCCAAGATTCCGGGCACAACTTGATGGGATTATTGTTGATGAATCTAGCTGGATGATGAAATTGTGCAGTAAAGTCAGAGTGGCAGGCAGGGAAGACAAGAAGCTCTGTCTTTGCTAGGTTGAGGTGATGTTTTTTCATCCTTGCTGAGATGTCTGCCATGCAGACTGAGATCTGTGCGGCTACCGTTGGATCATCTGGTTGAAATGAAAAGTAGAGCTGTGTGTCATCAGCATGATTGGACAAACCATGTGCCGGTATAATGGGTCCCAGCGATGTAGTGTATATGGAGAAGCGGAGAGGTCTAAGAACAGATCCCTGAGGAACCCCCATGACCAGTTGATGTGCTTTGGATTTCTCCCTCAGCCCAGACCAGCAAAGTGGAGTCCGGTTATGCCCTGTGATTACAGAGTGGACAGAAGGTTCTGATGATTAAAGGCCTGTTTGCACCAAAAACGAATATTAGTGTCCACACCAGTGGACGATGACATTGTTTATTCTAAGCGCAAGCTGCAGGATTGGCGTCTTCTCCTTTAAATGCTCAAGCTCTTTAAAGCAGGATGGATTCTGATTGGCTGTCAATGTTTTATCAGCTACCAAAATATTGTTCTGAAAGTGATTCCAACGATATCGTTTGACTGTGTCATTATCGTTATAGTTGCGGTGTGGACTCTGTTGTTCTTTTATATTTAGAACTATTTTTAGAACTACCGGTATATCTTTATCTTTATACTTGTCGTTCTTGGTGTAAACAGGCCTAAACTGTGTCGAAATCTAGCAGAATGAGAAGGGATGATTTGGAATCCATAGAGCTTCAGTGACCGAAAGCAAGGCAGTCTCAGTTGAATGGGCGCTTTAAATCATGATTGAAGTTTAAAGGTTTAATTTAAACCAACAGAAACCACTGACTGTTAAGACCAGTGACCATTTTGTGAAATGGATAAATGATTTAGACATGCATATCTTTTTAGACTTGTGCATGTTACTTTCAAGTGAATGACATTGTGTCTGTCCAAGGTGGTACTCATTAAGTAGACCACTATGTGACCCATAAGCCCTTCAGAGGGACACCTGCAGTCCCCCTCTTGTGCTGGATGTTAGTCTTCTAATATGAATACAATGGCATGTGTGCATACCGTGGCTCGCTCTGCAGGGGCAATGGAAAAGATCAATGTGGCACACCTGACTTGCTGAGTCCTCCCTATAGAGAAGCTGTCACTTATTAACTTTAATTAAATCGCCACCGAATCGTGCGCAGCTCGCCGGTGCGAAAAACGACGAGTCTCCTCCTTTGAGAGCCTGCCAGACGCCTTTGGATCTCCTTCATTCTCTCCGTCTATTGAAGGGTATAGAATAGGCAGTGATAAGCGAGCTACAAAATGCATCCTGGAGGAATAGGAAGTGATGTTTTTCACAGTAACACAACCTGGATTGATTCTGATTGATTTTCCCAAACCACCAATAACAAGCCTTGTAAGAAAGTGCACATGCGCATGCACACACATCTTGTTCCCTAGAACAGCCTTATTAAACTTTGTGTAAAGCAGTTCCTGGAATTGAATTCAGTGGGTGGCTTGCTGTGGGAGTCTCTCAGTGGGCTTCTAACTGCACATATATCCTGAATGCCAGGAAAGTATTGGATTATGTTAATAGATCCTTTTATGCACTATTTTCCTGTATTTTGTATGGAAGATGCAAGCTGTTATTTCAAATAGTGTTGTATTTCTATTTTAATTGGGGCGTGAATCAATTAAAATGTAAAAAAAGGATTTAGCAATTAATCATATAGGGTGGGATCTCATGCTTTCAAAGCTAGCTCGCTATTGCTAGCCTCTCTGAAATTGCATTCCCTACCTTTAAGAATTAAACATATTTGAATTAATAGTATGTTTAGCTTTGCCTTTCTTTAGTGTGAAATATCCACACATGATTTTTCTCTCTGAGAGCCTGCTAATTGTTTTTCAATTCATGTTAGTTTTAAAAATTAGTTTTTTGTCTAACAAATCAGCTTCTATGTGCAATTTGTTTATCTCTCTTATTATATTTTTATTTTTATTTTTACAGAGAGAATGAGGTTCTGAAGGTTCAGCTGAAGAAGTATGTTGGAGCTGTCCAAATGCTGAAAAGGGAAGGCAGCCAAGGCAATGACGGTCAGTCAATGTTCGCATACTATAGCATGTTTGAAATAAATTTGACCACCTCTTAAGATTCAGAAGGCTTTTTAAAACTTTAAAACTTGTTGCCAGATAAAATCACCTTATCAAAGTCAAACACATTAACATGAAATATTTGGTTGAGAAAAGGACTGTTAATTATATTTTATGTTAAAAAACGTCGTTATCTGTGCAGTGATGCGTTGGGTCTGGAGACAATCCAAGCTCCTGGAGGTAGAGCCCTGCACGGGCCTCAAATCTAGGCCCTAGCCCGGCCCTGCCCCGAGACGCTCAGGCCCTAGCCCGGCCCGTGTCCGACAGCTCATCAGAATGATCAGCCCGAGTCCGACCCGAGCCCGTAAAAAAAAAAAGAAAAAAAAAAAGATAAACAGCCTGACCTATGTTGCAGTCAGTAAACCAGATATATTTTGTTTTCAATGGCAAAGTATTTACCGGTAGGTTTATTTTCATTTCTTTATAAAGTTAATTAAGAAAAAACAAAAAACAAAATTTATGACGACCAAGCAGCCGACAGCGAGTTAAACATGTTTGATCCATTGATTGATTTATAGCCTCTCAAATCAACACTTTACTTGGCTACAATAAAATCCATAGATATAAAACTACTTGGCTACAATAAAATCCATAGATATAAAACAACTTAAGCATATCACACAGACAGTTAACGTTAGTTTAAACGTTTATTGTCATTTTTGAAAAGCTGAGGCAAACTGCTCTGCTGCTCAGTCGCAACAGCGCTCGCAAACTAAATGAATTTATAATATAGGCTACAATACAGAGAATGCAATCTAAACAAATCAAATAAATTACATTAAAAACAAACATGCAGGTTATCTTACCTCAAAAATCCATTTCCAATAGTTTCCAACAGACTCATGAAAATAAAGTCCAATCAAACAAAAAACAACCTCCTCCTAACATGGCTAAGAACAGTCTCAGAGCATCGTGAAGAAAAAGCACAGCATCCACAGTGGAAGGTTTTAATCCAGTCGTACTTTTTCCAGCTGCGCTGAAGTCACGCTCGCTACCATAGCGGGACACTAGAACGAGCCGGTCGCGCGAATCTCAGATCGCGCCGCCGGGAAACCTGTGTGTGTGTGTGTGTGTGCGTGAGCGTGAGCATGAGCAGACTGTCATGTGTCAGTCTTATGTCAGTGTGATAGGTTATAAAACGTCTTTCTATGTTTGCTTTTCAATCGTCATCTTCTCATGTTTTATTTTAATTAATGTCTAAAATAGGCTATAAAAAAGATAAGCCTAAAACAGGCCCGAGGCCCGGCCCGCGTGTGAACTATGACGTGAAAATTGGCCCGAAGCCCGGCCCTAGGAGCATAAATAAGTCGGGGCCCGTCGGGCTCGGGCTGAAATGCAGGCCTCTACCTGGAGGGATTATAAGGAGCCCAAAAACATGTCTAATTAAAAAAAACCAACCTTTTATTGAAATATTGCATTGTAGTTCTTCCTTCGTTGCTGCAGACTATTAAGCATGTGTGTGATGAATGACATATCCCTCAGTGGGATGCTGTCATATGTTTGAACAGCCTGTCTATAATTTCACAGTTTTTCTGCGATATGGTGGGAATTTCAATTATCTCTACATCATTCCATCAACAGATTGCATCAGATGAACATTGTAAGATATTTCCATGCAGTAAGTTTAGTGTGGTAGCACAGCTCTTATATGCAAAATAAACGTATGCCTTACAGGAGCTGAAATGAGAAGAGTTTATCAAAATTCCTGTGTGGGTTGTTTGCGTCTCAGCCCTCCGATAAATCCAGCTAACTGGGTGATGTACACCCAGCAACTATTGGTTGTGAACTTTTAAGATTGCGCTTTGCATCTTTTTAATGGATTTGACAAACACGCTCCTCTTCACTGATCAGCAGTCGCAGCTCTCCCAGCTCGCATTGCGTCGTGCTATTACAGTATCAGTCAGATCTGTGTGTGGAAGAGCGGTCCTACAGGGGATTGAGCCTCAGAGAAACCCCGAACGAATGCCTAATAAAGAGTTTTATACAGCCGGATCATGCCGTGTATGCCGGGTCTATTATGGCTCCTTGTTGGATGCACCAGGCAGCACTATTGATGCAAATTTCCCCATTTGCTTTCTCCCTGGCTTTCTCTCTCTCTCTCTCCATTGTTGCAAGAAATAAAAACTAGAAAAATGGAGGCCACCACATGTGAGTCTAATACTCCATTTGAAAACCAAGTGAGCTGCCTATGGAGGCAGCATTTTAAAGCATCAAAGATATGCTCCCAACTTGAAGGTTAGGCATAGTAATTATGCCTCCTTTAATCAAATTTTACACAGTTTTAGCCACATTTTACGGCAGACATTTTATATGTCCTTCACAGGGAATGCACTCCCAGAATGCATTGTGACCAGCTCAAGTGAAAAGATAAATCCAAAATGGCAGACGAGCAATGCCAGTATAAATAAACTTTTTTTATTTTAAAATAGTTCAGTGTATATGAATGTGAGATTTCGTGATAATTAAATGTAGTTAAAATTAAATAAAACAATTCGTTTTTTTATGTTTAACAAATTAATTATTGAAACATTTATTTTTTGTTTTGTTGTTTATTTTTTGTTTTAATTGTGCAATCATAGCTTAGCATCATGCTAACCTCAAACTCTATTTAAATCAATTGTGAGTCAAGTCTTTAGTGTTTAACATTGTTTGTAGGCGCGCACGCATGAGGTTCCGTGACGGATGCTGCCTATGTAGGCTGTAGACAGCGAGGCAGCTCACTAGGTTGTAGAACAGGGCTTAAATGATTCCACCCTCCATGTCTTCTGGGCTAATGATGTGTCCGTACTGTACTCTGACTTTGATGTTGAACAGCAACTGAAAAGGATGGTTGGGACACATCAAATTGATATACAAGCGTGCAATACGAGCCTTTTTCATGTCCTGTCAGACTGCACACACAATATGAGCTCTTTTGAAAGTTTTGCTTTAATGATAGTGTGCTCCCGATGTGATCTTTCGAGAACCCACGCTTCTGAGATCGTGATATGTTTAAAAAGAATTCCTTGTGTCTCCCCAAAGTTGAACTGCTATTACGTTTTTGCTAGTGCTGGATTAAAACATGCAATTAGATAAACGCCTCGCTCCACCAAAATGTGAAATTGAAGAATCTTTTTCATTCCCATATCAAATATCCTTTTATTAAGCATTGGAAGTGAACATGAAATCATGCAAATGAGGGAGGTTAAGAGTCTTGTCACTTGCAGAGGTTTCTCTTTCTTTCAGAAATATGGGTCAAAGGGAGAGTCATCAGTTCTGGGATAACCCGAGCTGAGAGAACACTACATTTGTCTCAGACGATGAATGGTAGTTATGCAGCTTGTTACAATAGATAAATCTGTATCTGCGTAGTGTGAACTGAGAACTTACAGGATTTGTTCTGAAGTGAAGTGCTTTGACAACAACCAACTAGTCGTTTTGCAAGGTCGACTAGTTTATCTAGATTATTTACCTTTTTTTTTCTTGATTATTCAGCTGCATTTTTTTAGCAGTGTTGTTCTAACAGTGTGCTGTTTTTTTTAGCCGACAGTTTGGACAATCTCAGAAAAGTTTTAAAACTGCTTCATACTTTTCTATAGCCTGGCAAGCCAGACCTACATCAAGATGTTAGGTCTGGGAACTCACAATTGGCATACCTCAATCCGAGGGGCGGGATAAACGGTTGTCTTTCAATATCCCTCGGCACGCAATAGGATAGCGCTACAACCAACCAGAGCAACGAACGGCTGTGGCTGAGTGAGTCCCATGCGTTTTTCCACCAGTGAACCAGCTAGTTGGTATATTAAACTTTTGCCGTATCCGGTCGTCAAAACTCTGAACACATCTTCCTTTTTTAGGAATGACTTAAGTGACGTTCTCTTAACTCCAAGTCATCCAGAGTCTCGGGCAAAGCCGATTCGAAAGACCGCTGTTCGCCAGCAGCATCTTCTTTGTTTTCAAGCAGAGGGAAATCACCTATGGAAATCACGCGGAACCGTCATAACTCTGCCGTCATATGTTAAGCCCGCCCACCAACTCTACACGATCTGATTGGCCGGACCAGTTTTTTGTTTTTCCAGCTCAAAAGTTTTGTTTTTCCAGCTCAAAGTGTTGGTCTAGCAAGAGAGTTGCTAGACCACACTTTGCTGCAAAATAATTTTTGCTGGCGCCAGGGTGCGTCTAGATTTCTTGGCTAACTTTTCTATTCAGTTAGTCTAGCTTTTTTGAACATAACACATCCCATATGAAAGACTTTTGCTCTTGGTAAGTGTGGTTTGCCCACCCTTACGTTTTTAAATAAATAAATGTTTTCATTTTAGCAAGGGCGACGAGTAAATATGAGAGTAAGGACATTTATGATGCGTTTTGAACTTTGTTCATCAAAGATTCTTGAAAAAATATATCACAGTTTCCACAAAAATATTAAGCAGCGTAATTGTTTATTTTTTCGATACTAATATATGCTGATTTGATTCTCAGAACATTTCATAAGAATGATTTCTGAGGATCATGTGACACTGAGGACTGGAGTAATGGCTGCTGAAAATTCAGCTTTGCCATCACAAAATTAAAAATTATATTTCAAAAATGTATTCTAATAGAAAAATTATTTTAAATTGTAATTGTTCATAGGATTACTGTTTTTAATGTATTTTTGATAAAATAAATGGTGAGGCAGCCTTGGTGAGCATATGAGACTTCTAACGTTCACTTGAAGTTAATCTTAAAAAGCACTAATTTATTAACACTGTTAAATGCAGTCTATGAATACCCATTTTTCATACTGTAATGTTGTGAAACAATTGAAAGGAATGATTTTAGTTTTTAGGGATTTATTTTTTGTTTTATTTAATCAAAAATAAAATTTCATCGCATGTATTATACACTCAAACTATTTGGATATATCCCATATTCACTATGGTACAAGATGTTGGCATTCAAATTGTGTTGGATTCATGGCTTCA